ACAAAAAATAAAAGAGAAAATGAGATTGATAGTCGAAAAGGAAGATATGACAAAGGACATGACTGTTAATCCAAGTGTCTCTTTCTCTCTGATTCAATTGGTGGATTGTTGAAGCAAGGTTCATGTTTCATTGTGCAGAAAAGTATATACGGCTAAAGGGTTACAAAATTCATATAAGTGCGATGCTGGTCATACCAAGCATTGCATATCGAGTCATTGTTGTTTCTCTTTCGCTTTTGTTAGGAAGGTAGCTGAAATCGTGTCAGGAGTAGCTTTTTCGAGTAATGTTTGGATATTCATCTGTACCAGTATTGGGTTAGTTAAAGAATATTCAGATTAGTTTTCCCCGTTGTATCAAGTTCATGATAAGATATTCATTTCTATAGCTTTCTGTCTGACATAAAGTTCGTTTTCGACTATGTTGCCATTCTTGAATTGATTTGTTTGATCGGACCGTGCAACCCAAGGCAAAAACCAATTATCAATGTTATGGAATGCTTGGCACTTTGTTTCCGAACATGAGTACCAATTAGCAATATTATTGAGTCGGAGCTGAATAATGTCGTGACGGTAGCCTTTAAGAGGAGGGTGACTGTAGACGCTTGAAAAGGATATTCGGGTTTGCTTATGGAAGAGACATCGTTGGGTGTACCTGATGCAATTTTGACTCAGAATTTTTATCGATGGCGCTGCATGTTAATATAACATGCAATTCAAAAATGTTCCGTCATGACATCAGAATTTTTATCGATGGGATCGAGTGACAGATCCGGTGACTTAGCGGCTGCGAAGATCAAGGATTGAAGGCTATAAGGACCAACTAGAGGCATCTCATGATTGAAGGCAACTTGGATGGATTGGCGCCGATCCAGAAACTACGGATGATCACCTATGCTCGACTGAGGCAGACTAATCAATGATGATCCGAGACTGATCAGCGGGCTATCGGCATCGATCATCAATGGTCGAGGACCAGTAGGTAGTGGTTGAAACCTAGAAAGTTATGAATGACTAACGATTTACTGCTGATCTACAACCTATCAGAAGGGACTCAAGTCCAACCGATGCTTATCTAGAATAGACAAAAGCATTAGTTAATGGCCGAAATAGAGGATGTCGATCTCGAATGCTCACTGAATCAAGGATACGAGTGGCAATCGTGGCCAAAATCGATAGGGATGCTCCGAATTGTTGGCAAATTCATGTTGATGAGTAGTCATCTCATGAGACGGGAACCGCACATATTCTATGATTCCCCTCATCTCAAGATGGTGTAATAATCTCATGGGTGCATGATTATCCTGTTCTTACCAAAAATTTATTGGTAGCTGCTATTCAGGAAAAATTCTCGATCAAATAGTTTCTCCCGGCACATAACTCAGATAACATAAATTCTTGTGTGAGATTGGACCCAACTAAATATGCTGCGCAGCTTAAACTCGAGCTCAAATTTATTTGGTGACAAGTTCATCTCGATTGGCTTTCTTACCATTTTGATTTCAATTTTATTATACTCCGTCTCTGGTGGGATATTGGTTTCCTTCAAACTATGTAAACGCAACGGAGCAACATAATGTGACCAATATATGCATGCATATAGCAGGTGTTGTTTCTGTTAGACTTAGATACCCTTCAAGCACAAAAGATTGAATTTTGCAGCTGACAAAGACTATCAGAATTATTCTCACATCCTCAAAAGCGACTTTTCGTAGATGTTTCGATCTAACAAGAGAGAAAGGGCTACTTCGGAATCACCTTATAATACGACTTTCTCAACGATAGTGTGGATTAGGGTTTGTGCTAGATCAGTTAGCTAATTCTGTACTAGAGGACTAAAGCAAAGGAGATTCCCTTTTAGTGGCTGATGTATCATCTGGATGCTTAGTAAAAGGAAAAGTAGCTGACCGGTCTCTGCTCAAAGGAGTATGAGATAAAAGAGACGATGCCTGACGTTGTCGCACTCGTTATTCGCCGATGATTCGGTTTTGTTGCGGGGAAGGTTCAGGGAAGTGATTGCAGATGCTTGAAAGCAACATTGGAAGAGCATCGTGTGGCTTCTGGACGAGGACTGAAGTTGCGAAAGTCTTTGTTTCTTTTTCATCGCAGATGCAAGACATGCAAAACAAGACGAGAGGACCAAAGAAGGAAGCGTTGAACTTTGTCAAACGACACAATGTAGAACTTGTAGAACGCACTTTTGTATGTTTTCAGAAACGTGTTGATGGCCAAAACTCTCTCTCTCTCTCTCTCTCTCTCTCTCTCTCTCTCTCTCTCTCTCTCTCTCTCTCTCTCTCTCTCCAAATATCCGATATATCCCATGCAATTATCTTAGGTTCCGCCGACCGAATTCCTCCTTCTGGATGATATTCTTCTTCTCGACCACCTTCCTCTCCATATTCTTCACCTGTCATCTTCTCTTCCCCTTTATTCTCTCTGCTATAAGAACCCTCCCCACATTCCACCATTACTCAACACCCGCAACTCCACCACATCATCTCAAGTCTAACACACACTTCTCAGAGAGAGAGAGAGAGAGAGAGAGAGAGAGAGAGAGAGAGAGATGGCTGCGCTACAGAGGTCGGTGACGTCGTTCAGGAGGCAAGGCTCGTCGGGACTGGTGTGGGCCGACGACAAGCTCATCTTATCGGGCGCTCTCGACCCAATCAAACCTCATGGTGACGAAGACGGTGGCGACAAGATCGACCGCAGACAACTCAAGCAGTCGCAGAGCGCCGGGATGATCGGCATGATGAAACGCAGCAGTTCCACTGATAGAGCTCCAGCTCAGCCACGTCGAAACGCCGTCGTCCCTTCCTCCGACGTCGACCCGCCTTCCCCTAAGATCTCCGGCTGCTGCTTTTCCGGCGTCTTCGGAAGACCGGCGAAGTGCCCACCTCCCAAACCTCAAAAATGATCAAAACAAAGCAAGTATGATTGCCAATGGTGATTTGTACAAGGCTTTTCTGTGCATGAATTCCTGGAATTTTTTTTTCCTGTCCCATCTCAAAGTGAGGCACGTGCTACGAAGTGCATATCATAATCAAGGAGGTCAATGACACAGCCCTTGAATTCTATTCTCTTCTCTCATTGTAATTATGTGCATTCATATGATTTTTGCACTTCTTTTTGTTATATCCCAACAACAGTTAGTCCTCTGAAATTCAAGCATGCTATATGACATTTCATTGTGTGTGATATGGCTCTTAATTTTATGCGATAAGCAGTGGGGATGTAATCGATCAAGGGTTACATGTCTCCACTATAGAAAGGATGGCTTTGTTATAGAAAAATAATCACTTTGCTATAATATTTTTATTGAGCCCTCAACAAGTTGCTCAAATGGTAAAGCGCTTAGTTTCGATACAAAAGATTTGGTAATCAAATGAAAGCGTTGTCTACTTAGAATAACCTTGCAGACCATGCCCGCCATACTTAGTTAGAGCTTTTCCCGATGTACGTGGCCGATGGAGTGGTTTTGCATGCATCCGCAGGAATTAGTAGAGTCGAAAGATTCGGATACCTCCCGTTATCAAATGAAATATTTTTAGTGTGCATTATTGAAGTTCTTTTCTTCTTGATCGGCAAACATTATTGGTGGGCAACTATAAATCTTTCGGAAAGCTTATATTTTGCATGGGTGTGTACTCGCAAGGCAGCAAAACGGATAATTATGTAGGATCAATATCGTCCTCAAGTAATTTCGTGACTAATTGTGATTCTCTCCTAATTTTGGCTTTTTTCCCTAAATGTAGGGGAAATTGAATAAAGTTGGGATAAATCGGGGAAAATTATCAACAAAAACCTAAACCTATTGTAATTGTGTCAATTCAGTCTTAAACCTTTTTTTTTTTGCCAAATAATATTTTAATATTTTTTTGAATTTATATTATTTATTTTTTTTCTTTTTTTTACTTCCCTTCTTCCTTTGGCCAATCGCCTATTAAAATATTATTTAAAATTATCACATCAGTGCCGGCCATGTCACGTAGAACGCCCGGCGTCCATGTCAACGATTTCCTATCAAAATTAGCCGGATAGACTAAATTAGCATAAATGCAAAAAGGTTTAGGACTTAATTGCCCAAAAAAATAAGGTTTAAGACTAAATTGGCACAATTACAATAGATTTAAAGTTATTTTGGTAATTTTCCCACTAAATTGGCGATGTAATTCAATCCGAATGCTCTCTTATTTGACACCGATTTATTAATCATTCAACAGTAGTAAATTGACAATACTCAATCTGTTGCATAAATGAAGAGGATACATCCTTTTGTACCGTATCACATCATATTACTAAGATAAGATATTGCGTCTAATTGTCGCATAACGTCACCGTCGCAAAACATACTCGTAAAAGTCGAACATTCCAAGTGAAAGGACTGCAATCATCACGAGTGAATAAACAACGAATTCACATAAATGAAAAGTCAAACATTACATCTTTTCTCATGTACAAATCTCGTAAAAGGACAAAAAGCATAAAAACAAATAGCTTTTTTTTTCTTTTTTTTGCAAGAAAATAATAAAACAAAGAGCTGAAAAAGCAAAGGTAACAACTTCTTGGTAGTGTGCCATTAGCATTACTATTCAAACAAGCCATGGCATGATATGGCAGATCTCGCAATCCAAGCTCTTCCCTTCAATCAGTAGCCTTCTGGACTTTGGTCTTGAAGAGCAAAATGTAGAGCTTCTCCATCGAAAAGTACAGGAAACCGCCTGTCGCGTGGGTCACGAAGGAGCCGAAGTTCGAGCCCACAATGCAGTGCCATGCCGGCCCATACACCTTATCAAACTCCTGCATCATACCCAAATTAGTCAATCAACTAATTAGGAACTCTAATTGAAATTAAACAAACACTAAGCATATCTCAAGGACATAAGAAATGTTTATTCTGGATGTAGGATAAGGAATAGGCCATGTAGATGGATCGTGGTGGTATAGCATAACTGCACATGCACGATGGAATTATTTTGTAACTATGCTCTAAAAATTATTCATTTTCACACATGGGATGAGAGAGTCCACTACAGGAGCAAAGGCAGATTCGGCTGTCATTTAATGGAGACTGTTGAATGATGCATGATTGATTGGCCAACACGACGACTGGTGGTAATGGCAGAGTGCACGATCATTAATCTTTGTTAATGACACATGGGGTGTCTTAATTCTTTAAAAGAGAGAGGTGATCTGATGCAAGATTCCAAATCTATGTCTAGGTTCATAGTCACAGAAATTTTCATTTCCCATTTTAGAGCCTTCAATATCGAAACTCGAATAAAGCACCCTTAAAATCGAACTATTACTGTAATTTTTTATAGTCGATTCATCGGATTGATCCAGTAAGATAGAGTCGATTAAAGTACAGAAAACACAAAAAAATGCAGAAAAGTCTAATGTAGATAGGATTAAATGCTCGACTTATTTGAAAAAGATTGGTAAATCGAGGCATGAGGTATCATCTTAGATAAACCCATCTCTCGGTGAATTATCATAAAAAATTTCTAAACATGCTGAGTAAGTGCACTGTGCACAAAGAAGTTCTCTGCATACCATCCAGGCAAACGGTCAATGGTAAAAAAACAACTACTGATAATTTTCTAAGTAAACGCGAAGGTGGAATAATTGAATTTTTAGAGTATTGACCACACATGACGTGAAGGAAAGTCGGTGCATTGAAAACTGTCAAGTTTTTTCTTAATATCGACCACTAAATATTTTAAAATGCTCGTTAACAAAATCCTAAAAAAAAAACAGAAGAATTGGAGTCCGAGAAAAGAAAGTAAAACTTTCTGTTAACCACGATACGCATCTGGTTTTCTGCCGTATGCACAATGGATTCTATCAATCGATAAAAAGAGAGAGCCAAAAAAGATGTTGAAAACCTTCTTCTTCTTCTTCGTTTGAAGAGAGTCCAAGAACTGAAATCAAGTGCAGACCACCAAACTCATTGTGCAGCAAAACATTTTACAGTGTTTGTACCAACAATAACACTTCGAACAAGAAGAAAAATGTAGCAAGAAAGAACATACAAGAATCAAGAAATGCGTAGAGAGGGGGCTTTTACGAAAGTGAGAGAGACGCCCGTCTGGATTTACCTTCTTCATGTTATAAGCCATGTGTTTGGAGCTGAATTTCTCCAAGCTGTCGTACGTCCTCCTCGCGCACCTGAATGCATGGACTTGCATGAACCCCGGCATGTCCGCCACCATCACCTTCACCTGCAAGAACGCCACCACCGACGCCAGGTTCGTCTCCACGTGCGACACTGACTTCCTGGCCTCCACCACCATCTCATTTCCGCCTCCGCCTCTGCTGCCGCCGCTGCCGCCGCCTCTGCCATCCCCTCCTCGGCCGCTGTTTGCTCTAACTAGTTGATCATCGCCGCGTTCGCTTTCTGGGCAATGTGGGGATTTCCTCAGCGTCCAGCCCCGTGTGATGTACTTGTTCGTGAAGGCCGACGGGTCGGGCTTCGCGACAAGGTTGACCTTGCCGGTAACAGTGGCAGCGGCGCCGGATTTGTAGAAGTTCATAAATGAGCCTAATTTCCTTGGCTTCTCATGGGTGGCCATGGTTTTTTTTTCCTTTTTTTTTTTGTGAGGCGATGATCTAACTCTTAGTTGGTAGACTGTCAATTAGTTTGATTCACTCAATATATAACATTGGAGGGGGGGCCCCGTTTGGTATCATGTGCACAAGTTTGGTTCACTCAATATATAAATGGGTTTAAGGGGGGTCCTGTTTGGAATCATGTGCACAAAGGGTCCGATGCATTTATATATTTACTTATTTTATTCATCTGTCTATTTAAAAAGTGGTAAAGTCCATATTAAAATGGGGGATGAGATAGAATTAATGGAGCAAACCATGTGATATTGCCTGCGCTCCTGAACAAAACGGGGTCTTGGGGTTTTCGCAAAAGGATTTGATGTTGAATTTGTTGGTTTGCTCCCCTTTTTCAAGTGATGGGAGGGGGTTATGTGGAGCAGACCTTTGGGTGATTAGTATTCGTTTTAGGGCACGTTTGTCTTGAAGGGGTTTGGTTGGTAATGGCCAGTGTACACATGGGGCCCCAGCCTTGCACCGCTTACATGATGGGGTACCTACCAAATTGTTCATATGTCTTGATCTTTCTCAGCTTCTTCATGTCACATTTATGCCCCTATCTAGAGTTTCATACCAATATAAATCCTCTCCACAGTAACCAAATAGTCCCCATCTCTTGAGAGATTTACCCCCCTAGCCTGCCTCTCTCTCTCTCTCTCTCTCTGAAGATAGGAAAACGCAGTGGTCCCAACCTTGCGACGACTGTGATCGACGACCCAGTCTCAGCTGACCGAAGATCTAGGATTACATGAAATTTTGCAACGTAGACAGAGAGTCGATGCGATGGAAACATGGAGGGGATCTCCAGTTCAATTTCTCTCTCTCCCAACCAAAAAAAACCACATCTATCGATAAACGGGAAAATTGTCCAAAAAGTCATAAACTTATTGCACGACAACCAATTCAATCTTAAACATTTCAATTATGTCAATTTAGTCCTAAACTTTTTGACGATTTATTAATTTAGTTCTAAATATTTTTACGATTTATCAATTTAGTCCCAAACCTTTTAATGATTTACTCGGAAAGACTGCATTAGCAAATCATTAAAAGGTTTAAGACTAAATTAACACAATTGAAAGATTTAGGAATGAATTGCCACAGTTAAAAGATTTAAGACTAAATTAACATAATTAAAATATTTATGACTGAATTTATAGTCGTGCAATAAGTTTCTGACTTATTGGACAATTATATCATCAATAAACGGCAGGAAAGATCATAAAAAACTGAAATAATCACAGCACCACTTAACTTCTCGTGCTCTTGGGATACTGATGGGTGGTGGGTTGGTTGGCCAGTCAAACTTTACTTCTTCAGCTGCGGAGAAATTTGCATTCAGGAGGGGAAAACTGCTGCGCGATGCCTCAACGTCTCTACGCCATCCACATGAACAGTGAACACGGTACGAGAACTCTTGAGGATTCTCGAAATACCACGGTTTCAGGTTGTAGGACGACAAGCCACGGTGAAAAGCTTCACATCATGCATCATCAATATTGGCACAGTTCACATGTCAGAATCGAAGCAGATTAGGGGCACGTCTACTTTCTTGCAGTACGCACTCGATATAAATTGTTCGGACCAGGAATTGCGAAGGAGTAAATGCCGTGTTTGGTGCTCGGTTTCATGAGGATAGGCACGAACCGATGTTAAAGGAAATCAAAGCGAGAACTGATGGGAAATTGCTGGAAACTAAAATCCACTGGAATTGAAATCGAGGGAAGGAAAGTTACATGCGCATCAACTCTCAAATGAAAACATTGAAGCGATTACTGCATTGATATTCACGATGCACACTACGAATTAAAACTTGACTACAAAATTAAAACCGAAATGGAAAGACATTGCTTTTGAAAGGAAAAGTTAATTTGGCAGGGTTTTGGCATAGGTTGAGTGTCCTCCTCGTCCTTGTTCTTTCTATTTATACAATCCTCGGGTCTTCTTCGAGGGTTACTGAAGTTCATGTGTAATCTCTCCTGTAATTGCTCCATATTTCCAATATCATGTGCCTAGCAACCCTTTGTCAATTTTCAGGCACAAGATCTTCTTGTGTCAGCTCTTTGATAATTGCATTGTAAGCAGTGAACTGTCCAAGCCCCTTGTTATCATGCTTGAGAAGATAGATCCAGACTTACTTAGAAAAATAATCTACGAAAGACAATAAGCACAAGCAACTCCCTTCAACAGCACCTGAGAAGGCCCCCGTAAATATGATGAATGCAGTCCACTGTACCCTCGGTTCTATGAACCGTTGTACTAAACTGCACCCCATGCTGCTTATTGAGCTCCCAATGCTTGCAAAGGCCCAACTTCCCTATTTTCTAGCCACACATAAGACCTTTCTTATTCAGTATGTTCATGCCTCTCTCTAGGGGAAAAGTGTCGGAAAAGTTCTAAACTTATTATATTTGTGCTAATTTAGTCATAAACCTTTTTTGGTGCCAATATAGTCATAAATCTTTTTTTGTGCTAATTAAGTCTTTCCGGCTAATTTTGGCCCGATATTGTTAACGTGAATGCCAACCGGCTTATGTGGCACTACCGATGCTAACGTGGATAATTTTTAATAATATTTTAATAATTTTCTGATTATTTTCTTTCTTCTTACCGGCCACAAGCCGAGCGGGCTGGCCCCGCCTGGGCGAAGGTCGCCGCGGGCCAAGCGAGGCCAGCCCAAGCAAGGGTGAGCCTTGGTGAGGGCTTTCCTTGCCGAGAGTCGCCTGCGCCAAGGCGACGCCTGGCGAGGCTGCCTTGGCTTGGGCGAAGGTCTACCTCACCAGATCTGTCCTAGGCAAGGCCGACCCTCACCCTCGCCCTCACCCTCGCCAGGCCAGCGGCAACCCTCCCCCAGGTGAGGCTAGCCTACCCCATGGCCGGTGGCCGATCACCGGCAAAAGGAAGAAAAAAAAAAAGAAAAAAGAAAAGAAATCAGAAAATAATTAAAAAAATTGAAAAAATATTAAAATATTATTAAAAATTATCTACATCAGCACTGGTTATGCCATGTACGCCGGCCGACGTCTACGTTAGCAATATCCGGCCAAAATTTGCCAGAAGGACTGAATTGCAAAATATTTAGGATTCAATTGGCACAAAAATAAGATTTATGACTAAATATGATTTAGGACATTTCTGACACTTTTCTCCCCTCTCTAACATGTGCCCCAGGTGTTAATGAATATTCTTCTCCAATATTGTTTTTCTTGCTAAAACTTTTCCAAATAATTTAAACTTTTAGAACAAACAGTTGCACACTCATCTTTAATAATATGGTCGGAAGTTTGTTTTAACATTTCTCCCCAGAAGTTTGTTTTAACATTTCTCCCCAAGAGAACAAGGACAATCTGAATATCCATGAATTGAAAGTTAGAAAAACGAATACCATTCATTTTTATATAATATGGGTCCGACTTATTCATCATTTCTGCAGTTTGGGGGGCAACGGTCAATTTCGAAAAAGAATTATATAGTCATTCCATCATACAATTTTGTCCTCATGACCCATAGATAGTTGGCAGTCCCAACACCATATCCCACCGCTAGCTCATGAACAGTTCTCATGTCATTCTCCAAATTAAATGCGGTACACATTGTGGGGATTCTATTCTTTGTTTGGAAGCAAAAAGAATGTACAGTTTCATGGATTTTAGCTCCATTTATCTCTACAAAGAAATATGAGAATGAAATCTTTCAAGTGGGGATGAAAGGTTTGCAATGTGTACCTTATGCTCAGGGGGTTTGTTGGCTCAAGGTAGAGCAAGAAGAAGCCATTCACCCAAAGGATTGCCATTCATTTGATGCTTGAGGATGAGGGTGGGCAAATTTCTTGGGAGAATCACGGGCGGTGTGGACCGATTCATCGCAACCATTAGATCGTGTGGGTTTTATAAGAAATCCATATGATTCAATGATTATAGCGTAGTGAGCTCACATGAAATTGATGCACTTGACGATAGGACTAAAGAAGGAAGTTGAAGTGCATCTTCATTCATTGAAAGGACATCATCATGAAGGTTGGCATGGCAATCAGGTGGTTGCATGAATGCTTGCTCAACTGCTCCATAAGGAGGACCTAATCTCAGGTTCCTGCAGAGAGTGTGTATTAGCTTAGATAACAACACCTTCATGGTTTAATTTGTCGAGAGAAATTAAAAGAGGGACATAATTAACACGATTTTCAATGTGGTCAATTCCATGCGTAACATACATCCACCGGGTGAGACGGCTAAAGAAGAAGTTCACTATTAGGAAGTTCAGATTAGAAAGTGTATACACATGGCCAACAACAAAAGTGGCAGCCACGATATGAGCAGGGCATAAGCTAACTAAGGAGCCATGTCGTGAACGAACTTTTGATTAGTTTGTGCATTTGGCATTTTCTACCTCATTTGAAGAGATCGATTGACCTTTGACACATCAATAGAGTTGAGTTGACAAGTTTGTCGACCTCTAACTTTCGGATTCCGAATGGATGGATTAGTTATGGTTCAAATCGAACATTCGTGGATGGTACGAGACTCTTATCTAATAATATACTGAACATAAGTCATGACAAGACAGAAGAAATGAAAGATGCTTTCGGAATTCTAATTAAGAAGACACCGACAACTTCAATTCGTTGACAATCATATACCAAGGCAATATTGAGAATTTCTTTGCTTTGTGAAGATAAATGGATAAGCAGTCTTTTTTCACCTTAAAGGTGATCGCTGAGCGGGCTTGGGGCAAGTGGTGCTAAAGTTTGGGCCTTAATTTTTGCCCAGGCTTTGTCACTAAAGGTCCTAGCCCAAGCATTAAAGGCCATTTCCCAAAGTAGAACACTCTGCTTCTACAGTCTGCCTGACATCTCTTCTACTTAACCAAAAAGGGCAAAACACGCCTGATTTCCAACACATGAAAATAGTTGTGAAAAACCAACTTGAGTCCAATTCAAAATGACAAAGAGCTAAGTCTTCCCACCAAGATCGTAGAGGTTTGTCTGTAGAACCATCCACTCCATCTGTAACATCAATTGCTTCTGCAAAAACGGTCCTTTCAAACTTTTCCTGAAAATCTCCTTCTACTATATGTTCCCCTTTGCCAAGACGGTTCTTGCAAGCAAATTGACGTCCCCTTGATCCGTAGCCCGATCACCTTCTATCATTCCTTCCAACCTTTAGTCATCCCTCATTCTACAGCTTGTCCTCCGTCTGCAGAGTTCGTCCTTCGAGACTTAGATATAATTCCCGTCCAACAGCTTGTTCTCCTATTGTAGAACCAAAGTCTTCCCAGGATTTTACATCCTATTGTTAAACTACTATCTGCACATCGCTTATGTATATAGAAGTCATTCGTTATGCAACTCAAATGCACATATTAATATCCTTTGATCATTTTGTCATCTTCAAAATTTGAGATTTTCTCTTTACATGAAATACCGATGAATGATCTCACTGTCGAGTTTCAGGGGTCCCTGTGCACCTGAGCTCAACGAATGCTGATGATCTTCTCTTCAGCCGGAACCAAGTGAATTTATCAGGGCAATTGAACTAGCGAATGGTCCTAGCCCAATTGCTTTTAATTGGACCCAACTTAACAAATATAGAACTGCTAGAATGTTTGTATTTCGCAATATCTTCAATCTGAGCTCATGCTCGAATTGAAGCCAACCTGAGCATATGATCAACTCGAGGTTAGAATGAAAAATATGTCATGAAAAGCTCAAGGTTGAAAGGAATTAACTTGTAATCGCGTACCGAGCGTGTTTTGGTTTTTCAAGTTGAGGGAGCTTTGATTTTGCTGAAGTTGTGTCCTTGAGCACAACTAGATTCTTCTCGAGACAGCGAGTTTAAGTTGCTCGAAGATCAGTTCAAGCTAGCCTCAAGCCTCACCAAACAGTTAAGCGTTATTTATGTGTATTTACATGGTATTCATATACTATTCCCGACATCATACCTTATGCGAAAGCATGAAATGAAATTGGAGCTTTGAGTTTTGAGTTTTAAGTCGAGTTTTAGCATCTTAAACGCCTCATTAAGTCGAGATCAAATTAATCGAGTACTCGGTTGACATGGAATGGGAAAACAACTATAAGAATCCAACCTTGGAAAAAAAATTTCGACCTTACCTTATTTTTACACACAAAAGCAATGGAAAAGAAAATAACAAAGAAGGTATCTAAAAAATTCTTGAGCCATTTGTCACGGCCCAGAGAATTGGATCATTCTTGAGGGTTTCTGAACAATAGACCATGACTGATCCATGAACTGGCGAGTGGACCTCAAGGATTCTAAGTCATAGGGTTTTCTTGTATGTTATAAAATACTCTTGGGAGCAGGCAATATAGTAATTGTACTCTCTTGTAATAAATGGAGGTAGATGGTAGTTGGGGAGGTGCAATCTCCACTGTTAGATCGATGAGAGATTTACGAATATAGTTGAGCATGTACTTGTATAAAAAGGGTTCTCCTCCCTCATTTGTACATCTCATTTGTAAGGGAACACTAGATAGTATGACGGTAATCGGACACTGCGGTTGCTGTTCTGGAGCGCCACCGTAACGATGGGGAGGATGTCGCAGTTTGGGAATGAAATTGCCTTACTCCTACGAACTAGAGAATCGATGAATTTGGGGACTTGATTACACTAATTACCCAATTAATGCCCTCTCGGTACTTAACTTTGTTCAATTCAAGAAAATGTTTGTCAGGCAACCTATATTAATTTTAAACCTATCCACTTACATATGTGAGATGATCATGCGAGTGCGTAATCATTAAAATAACAACCAGCAACCAATGAAGCATTAAATAAATTGCAAGGAAAAGCAAGAATCTAATGCTAAGAAATAAGAAAACTGCCATTCCTAACTAGGCTAGAGGGACACAACAATCAACATATTGAAAGTACGCAATCAAGTAATAATGGAAATGCATAAACAACCACCCAGCATTTATCTTTAAGAACATTCAAATCCCTAATATGAAGGCCTAAGGTCTTGTTTAATTATGAGCACAATTTTTTGATCAAATATTTTCACACATTTTCAAAGAAAACTAATCAAAATCTAATTTCGAAGCTTTTTCCTGATTTTTAGAAAAAATAAAATTTGTTGGAATTTTTTTATTATATTTTTATATAAAAAAATAATATTATTATATTATACTATATTATAAAGGGAGCCGGGTTGGGTCTTAAAATCTGCCCACACGCATGCCAACCCAGGTAAGAAAGCCATCAGCCAGCCCAATCACCCGGCCTGGGTCCGCCCCGACTAACCCGGGCTCACCTGCCTCGCGACCCGACTCCATCTAGGTCGCCCTTGCTCCTTGCGGCCTTGACAAAGACGGCCGAAACGAATGATGCCACTCGTCTCGGCCTAGCCGCATGCCTACTCTGGTGCCGCCTTGGCCCACCCAGGCTAAGGGCTTGGCCTCTGTCTGGCCAACCACCTCTCGACACTCACGCCAAGACCACAGCTTCCGGGCTAGCTTCAATGCCACCGGCCGAGGGTATCCTCCTCGGCCCAAAAAAAAAAAAAACGATGGTGGCGTTGGTAACGTGATGAACAACTAAATGGCCAGTGCCCAGGGACGCCGACCACAACAAAAACGCCTCACCGGAAATAAACAAAGCACGGACAACTCGGCTTCGACCAAAAACGAGGATATGAACCTAGATCTCATTGCGGCATTTCATCCAACAGGCGGTGGAGTACACTAAAGAAACGAGAGGTTCTCAGCTCAAACGAGACTCGAACTCAGGCCAGGACTCTCGACAAACAAACCAGGACACATAACAAATGGGGACCCGAGTTCGCGTGAGCCAGACGGCTACGAGCTTCAGCCCAGCGTGCCCAGAAACGGGGCGAAACATGGCACTCAAAGAAAGGAAAAAAAATAGGGGCAGTCGTTGGTGAGGTCCCTACCCGGCTTGGCGACAACGAATGGAGGGCAAGCTCGATGGATCGGACAACGTCTGGTTGCCTCACTAACCTCCGAGCCGGGATCCTTAGGAAAAACGACCTAAAAAAACGAAAACTGGCAAACCGCAACCTACCGAGGTTTGGCATGGGGAAAAGGGCGATGTCCATGGGTTGTTGGCCGCGGTGCAGGCACGACGATCAACAAAGTTGCTCTTCGTTCTCGCTCTCTCGATTTCTCTTTCTCGGGTTCTTTGACCTCTCTGATCTCTCTAGTCTCCCCCTGTTGCTCGCCTTCTCTCCATTTTTCTCTCTCTATTTCTTTAGGCAAGCCAGCCGATCCACCTGCCTCCACCTGTCCCTATACTTTTGATTGGGACAGGTGACCTACCACCGGTTCCGCGACCAGCCCCTGTCCCATCTTTCGTGCCTGTGGAAGGAGCAGGGTTGGGGGGACGAAGACAGAAGAAGTGGGCTGGGCCGTGGAGAAGACGAAAGGGTCGGCCCAGGCAAAGAGAAAGGGTGGAAAAGAAAAGGGAGGTCGGGCCGGGCCTTCCTTGGCCCAGTTTCGTTTTTCTTCTTTTTCTTAAAGAAAGAGAAAATACATTTTAATAAATTCTATTATTATTAATGCAATTGCTCTTGATGTCTATGAGCCGTGTAATTTAATTAAAATATTTCCGTTTAGGGGTTAAATATTAATCTCTAATTTTCTATGCACTAAATTACTAAATGGGACGCCGAAATTTAGGTTGTAATCCAGTCCATAAGTGTACTTATCAGTTGATTAATGGAGTATTCAATTCGAGTCCATGTGACCACACCAATTCAAGGCTGAAAGATCCAAGGGATCAATCTGCGAACCTTCATTGCATTGCATATTTGATTAAGGGAGCATTCTATGATTATCCCACTAACCCTCTATTTATATTCATTGAGCATCGCATGTTCTCTTGATTAAGTGTACTTATTAGTTGTGAGGAACCTTTTCTGAGTCAACGGACTGAATAGTCACGTGGGTATCTCTCTTATCTCACCCAACACAATTACTGGATGGACGATGGGCGATGCAGTCCTCCTAAAACAATGGGATTTGAGTTAGTTTTATCTAAGATAATGATAATTTTTCTTTCTTAATTTGGAGGGGACAGCATGAGGTCATGCTTCTCTTGCACGGGTAGTGATAGTAAAGCATAATTTGTGTTCAGATTTCAATTGATTATTTTGTCAATATCTACATGTCTATGTTAGTTGTAAATTTGTCCAAGTATTTTATGTTGGATTTGACTTGTACAGTCATTCCTCGGTGTCTATCCTACCAAACTGTTGGAAGTTAATGTCACGGAATCCGCTTGTGAAACATGAGGCAAAAGCCAAGTTGATTTCAATTTATGTTACGGTGATGACAGATCTGTCATGTTCCTTAGTAAACAAATTTCAGTATAATTTTCTTACTAGTTACTATGTACGTGCAGTGCGTGATTCACCGTAAAAAAGAGGGACATGACCATAAGAGCACCTGAAATTATACCTGTGTTGTAATCAAGGATGCCTAAACTTATTTTTTTTGTTTCATCAAAGTAACTCAACCTTTCGAATTGTGCCCGATGTGAGGCCTCTGTTAAATTCATGGACAGAAAATGGTGATACGACACTAATGTGTTAAGTAACCGTTAAAATGTAATTGTTAGCAATTCGGTGTGTTCTCATAGGATGAAGCCACATTAGTAAAAACAATTTGGAGCCATTGACATGGAATGGGAAAACAATGATTAGAATCCAACTTACCCAATTTTATACGCACAAAAAACAATGGAAATGAGAATAACAAAGAAGGAATCTGAAAATTTTCTTGAGCCATTCACGCGGTCCTTTCTTGTGTTTTGATTATTGTAAAAAGAGACCCAATTTCATAGTGTCACACGCTGCGGCTGCGGAAGTTGGTGCTCGAGATTGCAATTGATGCGGGAACACTGGAGAACTGGAGCGCCGCCATCGAGGGCGACGACGGGGAGGTTGTCACAGTTGCAAATCTCGATCATTGACCCGTCGGGATCGTGGAAGAAGATCTGATCGACGTCGATCCCGCCTTCCTCTACCTTTCTCTTCACGTACTCTATCCCCATCTCCTCTAGCTTCTTCTCCACCGTCGCCACGCTCTCACACTGGACATGCCAAGAACGCACCACTGTCAACTTTACCGTCTTAACAATCGCTTGTATACATCAATGTTTAAGTAAATTTCCCACACAGTTAACGTAAAATGCTCGAGAGAGATGACCTGAAAAGAAATGTGGTTGTCCTTGGGATTGATTCCACCAACGGTGGGCAGTTGATGAGGGTCTTCGGTTTGAAGCAGGTGGATCCCGATCCCATAGTTGAACAGCCTTAACTCCATCCAAGAACACCCACCAAAACCAAAGATCAACACGTATCAAAACAAAGATCAATTGCAAAAATCAGAAACGACAAAGGAGTGTCTGCATGACTGCAAAACTCTCCCACGATTCGATAGATTCTTGGCTTGAATTAAGAAGAGTACCATGCGCCCTCGAAATCGAAGGAACCGGGTCGCCGGACAGGGACGAACCCGAGGACGTCCTTGTAGAAACCGATCGATCTCTCCAGCGACCGGCACACCACCGAGATGTGATTCAGCGACTTGAGTTGCAGAGGATTTTCCATTGAATTTAGCCCGGGAACCAATACGATCCGCGCGAGATCGAACTAAAGAGGACTTCAAGAACGAAATGGGGTTGCGAAAAAGGGATCAGACAAAGCTAGATGAACAACTACAGAGAATAAGTTTGGTGATATGATGTCTGCTGGTTCGAGAGTTGTATGGCTGCATATATAGGAAAATCAAACGAAGCATCGAAAGCAGGAGCATGCATCGTGCACGTGATTGTTCTGCCTTCGTCGATCTTAGGTGTGGGCCAGGATTGGCGATGTCGATGACACGTCGGATCTACGTCGAAAGATTTGAGCCAGCCAAAAGTTGCCTCCTTTTGGCACCCGTGAATTAAGTCAAACTCCTTGCAATTGCAAGACTATTTTACTCCTTTCTTGGATTTGGATTATCCACTAGCGACAATTTGGCACTTGTTAAAATAAAATTGCCATTGAGAAAGGGAATACACGTGATATGATTGAGACTTTTTTGGGTAAAACTTTCATGTGATAAATGTGCTTTGCGTTTGCTTCTGATTAGTATTATTCGGATCGGAAAAAATAGTTTTCTGTCACGTGTTAGAGATAATTAGGGATTAGGATAATTTTCTATTTTAGAGATATTTGATAATTATGTTGATTTTATATATCTCTCAAGCTATCACATTTATCTCCTTTTAAATTGTACATATCTTGATTGATATATGTTATTTTAGATAGTCATCTATAAAACCTATTACTACATCGAATTATACCGAAATAACATAATTTTATTTTCCACTATATTATTCTCAACTTAGAATGTTTCCTTTCCTGAGCAACCCCGGTACACTTCGCCAAGTCGACCTTTTCTTTTTTACGGAGGTATTTTTCGACACCGCGAAGACACGGTATTTTTCAACGGTTGTATCGGCCGCGTTTGTTCAATTACTATTTTGATACCAAAGTCGACCGCAAAGGACGCATCCTGTTGTCCTCCAATTCTCGACTTTTCGCTTCTCATTTGGAGAACATCACCAAATCTGCCGCCTCATGCGAGCATCGTACTGAAATTTAATATCTTTAGAATCTTAAAAAGCAAAAGTTATCCATACATTTCTCATATAAAGATTGACTAGCGCTCTAACATATTAATCCATAAAATGAGTCTACATAGTACTTTTTTGGAGAAGTGAGAACTAGGACTTAAATTATGGTTGTTGATCAATTGAGAATTTAAGGTGTTATTTGTGTCAATTAAGGGTTGTAAGGTTTTAAAAAAGCCCTATCAAACATATAATATTAATCCATAAAATGAATCTATATAGTGTTCTTATTAGAAAAGTGGAAAACTATGATTAAAATTTTGGTTGTTGATAAGTGGAGAACTTAAGGTGTTATTTTGGTCAATTAAGGTTTTGAGGTTTTAAAAGAGCCCTAATAGAATCTCAAGGTTGCCGTTGACAGAATTTAAGTGTTGGAATTGACACGTAGCAAATGGAAAAAATATTCCAGTTGGAGCCGTGTTAGATTTCCGACGCTTGAATTTCATCATAGCTAACTCGAGATCTGATTTGAGTTTTTTTAAACCTTAAGTTCTCGGTTGACTAAATTAAAAGCTTAAGTCCTTATTTGACAGATGGGCACAATTTTAAATCTAGTTTCTGCACTTATCCCGTACTCTTTTCCTTCAAAAAAGATAAGTTTTAAATTCGACTCTCTTAATTATCTGAGATGTGCTTGGTTGAATATAAATGTTTTGGCCGAAAATATTATTGTGATGGCGGTTTAATTCCCCTAAAGACCCCAAATGTTAACTTTAATCTCAATTCTGCCCCAATTTTTTTTGTCTAAAAAAACACATACTCTCTATAGTCCTAAATCTGCCCACGTGTTCAAAAACCGCCACTAGCTTTTTCAAAATAATCAACATTAAGGCTAATTAGAGGTTCATAATCAAATCATGCATCTTCACCAATACTCTCACCTTCATATGGAATAATAGCAGTTTATGTCGTTGCGTTGTGAACACAACATGTTAATCGTTATGCCCTAATTTGGAATTAATTTATTTTTCTTTTTCGTTCTTTAAAATCACGGATGCAGGAAAGAAGTTGCCTTTCTTGTAGTTCCGATTTTTCAAGGTCGTGCGTTGACTTCTGCATGAAACAAACGACTTAGGAAAAATCCGTAGGTTTTTGAGACCACATCACTCGTACGAGGGAGTTCAGAGGCAAAATCAATTTGAACTCCTTCCATTCTCGTCGTCCGATGACGTCACTGGTGACGTGACCAATCCATCCAGATTGCTGTTGGAACCTAAAGCTTCAAACCCCACGCGCACATAGGAGGAGGATATAAGAGAGAATTTGTGAGTTTTCTTTTTCGAGAAATTAAAAATCTGCCCGATCAATCAAAGTATTAATTAAGTTGACTTAAAATTTATGATTATGAGGTTACCCGATTACCCAAAAAAAGGAGAATTATCAATTCAGTCATGGATCTACTGTACGGATGTCAATTCAATCATAAAGATACGGCGATAGTTCATTATGCATGAAAAGAAAACTATTTTGTAGACTAGATTACTAAAGCCCATCGATCGGGCTCCCTTCCTTCTAATGGGCTTTCTAAGCCCCCCAACCCCTTTGAGACTTGCTATAACTTGCGTTGTAGTTCGAGTTTTGCTAATTAAATGAAGTTGATTCATTTTGACAAAATAAAAATCCTAAACTTTTTAATTTTGTCAATATATTTCTAATCTTTGCTCGATATTCCACTTTAGTCATTTCGACCATTTGTCGCCGGAATTGCTGACATGGCAATCCATAAGTCTAGTCACCGCCAGCAGTCTTGTGTGGCACGCTAATTTGGATAACTTATGAATTGACATATCAGCAATTTCAGGTTGCAATTGCCCAAAAGGACTACATTAGAATATCGTGCAAAGTTTATGACTACGTTGACAAAATTAAAAAGTTTAGGACCGGATTGGCATCCATATAGTATGTTTAGGACTTAATTAGTAATTATCCCTTCATCCAGCTCTTGCAATTCAAGGAGGCATATATATCAAGATCATGACATGACGCATCATAACGAGGAGCAATGGAGGATTCGGGTGGCATGGTTGTTATTACTTCAATCGAGTTTCGATTTCTCTAAACATAGAACATCTTTCATATTGATTGTTATTTCTTCAATTATATAAGATCGATTGAGGGTGTCAAAAGGGGGAAAATTACCAGAAAAATTATATGGATACCAGTTCAGTATTCCTTCCGGCCAAATATGACCGGAAATCGTTGATGTAGACGCCAGCTGTCCTACGTAATATGACTAATGCTTTTCTCCGTTTGATGGATGGTATTTGAGACGGAATAGAATTCTCGTGCCTATCAATCATCCAGCGAAAATATCGTTAATTTCCCTTTCGCGTTCATATGGTCGTACCGATACGATGTTTTTCAAGATCGTTGCAAGTCGAGTGGAAGTCGGATTCTACACCTAATGTCTCTTTTTTTCGGCTCATCACGCCAGTCACCATCTCCACAAGGACTTGAGCCAAGACAATGTTTCCACATGCACGTCCATGCTGTGATGGTTCTTAACAAGGAAATTATGAGATCAAGAAAATGACACTTGCGGTGATAATTGCAAAGATATGTACGTTTCTCGTAATTAGAAAGGGAAGAATTTCTCATTCTACTAACCCAAGAGGGAAAAGATCATCCAGACGTGATGATTATGAACAGTGCAATTGCCCGTGTTATCGTGTTTGCTTATATCATAGATATATCCGTAATCGGTGACCTATCGTCTGGAAAGGCGTATCCCCTAAATTGGTGGATACATTCAGGATTTTTACTCTTGAAATGTTTCCCACAAAAAAAATTAAACTGATACCGCAAGAAAATGAACAAACTCTCTTGTCATCTAAGCTAACACGTTGTTGGTCTAACCATATATTATTGCAACATATGATAATATGGTAATTCCAAACGGTATGCAAAAGAAGTGCCTCATTCCATAGATCTCTCATAAGTTTCTAAATTTAAATGAAATTTTCCGGATCCTACCACAATTTGTAATCGTTTCCTAAAGTTAATACAAAGTGGACTTTCCCTTCCTTTCTTAGTTCAATTTTACATTTTTGCACCTCTTTTGCTATTAGTAAGAAAGACTTCCTAGCTATGTTTGACAAAATCAGATACAACTTAGATAATACTTTCTTTTTACTTGTCTTGCTCTTTCTCTACTTGTAATTGTAAATCCACCCATTTCTCGACAAGAAATTTCATAGGAAACTGTGGCTCTATTTATTTTGCGAAAAATATAATGCTTCTGGAAGAAGTTTTCAAAGAAGTCATTTTCTAGGTAAATAACAATATTTTTCGGTATTTAGCTGAAATCTAAAAACGAACTAAAATTTATTTTCTATTGTTTTGTATGAAAAATATAATTAGATTTTCCTCAGTGCAATCCTTTTAATAATTTTTTATATTATATTATTTTTTTTCCTTTTTTTTAAAATCAAAATTTAATTCTTTTTCTTTTTCTTTTTCCTTCTTCGTCGGCTGGCCACAGACGAGCTTGAGCCTCGCCGCCCTCGCCATAGGCTGGCAAGGCTCGAGCTCGCTAGACTTGGAGGAGTTGAGCCGAGCCTTGTTGGCCTTGGGCGAGGCTCCACCTAGCCAACCTTTGGCAAGGCCTCGAGCTCGTCAATCTGGCGAGGGTCAATTTGCCGGAATCTGGCAAGCTCAAGCCTCGTTGGCCTTGGGCAAGCTTGTCTCTCACCTATGGCCGGCCATCGATCAAGGAAGAAGGAAAATGAAAATAAAAAAGAAAAAGAAAAAAACTAATAAAAAAATTCCATTCTTTTGAATTTTTTTATAAGAACAAATGTTTTATTAACTAAGGACCTGAGCACCGAAGACCTGTGCTTAGCCTTTGTGAACCCGGACTTGAGCACCAAGGACTAGAGCTCGAGCATTGGGGACCCAAGCACGGCATCTATAGACCAAGCTCGGGTGCCGGAACATCGGGCACAAGCACTAAGGCTTAGGGTTCGGTGTCAATGGACTCGGGTGTACGTACCGAGGCACCAGAGTCCCAGGCTTGTCCTCGATGAACCCGGACCCAGGAGATCTAGTCTTGAAAGCTGGGAACCAACGTTGGGGTTTTCATACCTAAGCGCCGATATTTAGTCATATTTTGAAAAATGTTATTCGATTTTTCAAAGAGAAAATCTTTTTCCTGAATTTAAGCATGGATTTTCCTTTTACTCATTTTTCTAAACGAACCAAGCACCGAAAAATAAGGAAAATGTTTTCCTGGAAAAATGGTTTTTGCGAAACAAACAGTGCCTACATAATCAAATGCTGAATAACTAATTCGGAAACTGTCAAACTCAAAACCAAAGGCAAATAAAAATACAATCGATTTTACAAATTAAAGCATGACTTCTCATCGAAACTAGGGATGTGCATTAGTTCCGTTTCCTGGATCGAACAAACTAGCCATTTCTAGGTGATTCCTATGGGAATCGATCCGGTTCTCGATTCCTTGTGCAGAATAAGACCAACCGGACCGATGAATTGGCTCTTTTTCTTTTGGGTTAATACCACAAAAACCCTAAATCGGTAAATTTGTGATAAATTTACTTAAAATTAATTTTTTAATCATAAAAAATCCAAAACTGGTAGACCTGTGATAAATTTATCTCAAAATAATTTTTTGGCCATAAAAAACTCCAAACTGGTTAACTTGTGACAAATTTACCCTCCGTTAACCGGATTAATACTACTAGTATATTCATTAATTTCCACGTATCATCAAACTCAGCAATTTGATGGTATAATTTAAAGGAAACTAACGGAAGATAAATTTGTCACATGTGTACCAGTTCGAGATTCTTGTTGGTTAAAATAATTAGTTTATGGTAAATTTGTACAAATTTAAAGTTTTTTTTGCGATATTAAACGTTTTTTTTTTCTCTCTCTTCCAGTAAAGCTGCATTGGGAGGACACGCTCTCTCTCACCTCCCTTGAAATTGGACACTCTCTCTCTCTCTCTCTCTTCCCTCTCTCGCTCTGCCGCTCACTCTCACACCCCTCTCGCGACATTGATGAAGGATGTCGGAGATTTCAAAGGGGGGAAATTGAAATTAGGGTTCCAATTTTTTGGGGGGGCTTTGGAAGATTTAAACTTTTGCTTGCTAGGTCGTCTTTCCCACTACGTCGGAAACTTTTGATGCGCGTGGAGCCAAACCAGCAATCCACCTAGGGCTCCAACTCTTTTCTCTGAGAAATTTTCCCGGGAAAATTCTCTTCCCCCGGGTGGGTGGAGAGGATGGACGGGAAACTGGAGGTGTCGCTCGATAAGCTGCCCGTCAAGCGCTTGGAATTCATCGAGGAGAGCGGCGTCGAACGATTCCCCGCGTAAGCTTCCTCTTCCTCTTCCTCTGCTCCGATCCTTAGCTCGAGAACCCAAACGCTCTGTTTTTAGGTGCTGACTTAGAATTCCTCCTCTGCAAGATTTGAAATTTCGTGGCGGTTGAGTTGAAAGTTCGTTCTCGTGTCAATTTCGATCTGTCTATCGAAAAGGGTTTTTGAATTGAACGTGTTTTAACGGATACAGGGGGGGAAGGATCTATAATGCAGGTTCTAAAAGGCGCAAAGTTGCGATTTTCGAACTGTTTTTGGCGTTTTTTCTCTTTCCTTTACGTGAATCAGCGGTAGCCACCCACTGCTGGAGTTTTGATTGGAGTTGATTTTGCAAGTACTTGTGCGATTTACTGTGATTTAGCTCCATCGGTCACGAGCGGTTAAAAAAAATGAATCTTTTGTCTAGATAGAATTTAGTGGGTCATTGTTGACACCTTAGAAAGGTCAATAATGCGAAAATGATGAGCCTTTGTGTGAGCGCATGGATTGGGATTTGTCTGAAGAGTTGGTTATTCTTCGTCTTTCTTTGGTGACTCAGCGATGTCAGCTATGATGAAAAGAGGCTCTCCCTGATTCGACGGATCGATTTTGCGTGGGCCTTGGAGAAGGATGACAGTAAGAAGCAGAAGAAGAGTGCAAAGGAGAGCTCAACGCCGTGGCAATGGCAGGGCATGGTCGAGAATTTGCAGCTGGCTCAGCAAGAGCTGTCTGTCATCCTTGATCTCATCAACACTGTGAGTTGCTTAATTGCGCATCAATGGTTCAACTGCAGTAGTATTCTTGTTGAATTTGTAATGTGTCTCTGTACCCAAGATGGTGATCATGGAGTTTGAGGGGCATACTCAAGCTCATTTGTGCTTGGAAAGTTTCTTTTTTTTAAGTTGTGTTTTATAGCGAAAACAACTTTACTGTTTGGACTCATTAGAGAAGGCATTTTTGCTTCTTAATTTCCTCTTATCATGGAATGCAGGTAGAAGCAAATGATGCTGTCACGGTTGCTAGCATCACCAGGCCAAAGCCATTGTCAAATGAAGTTTTGTCTGACCTAGCTGTATCTGCAGCAACAAAGCTACAATGCTTCCGGGTACCTTTCCTCCCGGAGGAGTATTTTTTGGAAATGTTGACTGTTCTTAGTTCTATGGATTTTCGCAGATATTCTAACTATCCATTGAGGAGTAGACTTTAGAAATGCTATATTAGTGTTTTTCAATGACGTTCAATAAATCACTAGTATTTAACCACTGGTTCTTTTGTAAATGACTTCTTTAACTTTTTGCTAAGATATGATTTGTGTATCACTGTCAATGCAAGTACATAGCCTCTGACCTCTTCCTAAATAGTCGATGTGCATATAATTGAGCAAAACAATGTAGAAATTTCAAACTTTAGGCATTAATTTGATAAATTCGTAGGATCTTACAATCCTCGATCCAATCCTTGAAGACCTGCAAACTATTCTACCTAGGATCCCGATCCTAATAACCTTGATAATACTGAGTATTTGTCTGTTAAATGCAGCATCTTGGTAAATATTTCAAGCAGTCTGCCAAAGCTTTGGAGCAACAAGTTGCTAAAGAGGCTAGGTTCTACGGGGCTCTCATCAGGTGTGCCTCTCACTACTTACTAGCTATATTTTTTCTCCTAGTTTTAGAAGAAACTATTTTAGCAAACATTTATTTATATGCATATCTAAGTGCGGGGAACAATCTGCTATAGCCAAAATATATCATTTCTTAAATTGGGCAAATGTAAAATCTTCAATCTGCAATGTGTCTTTCCTGAATAAAATTTATTGGAACTCTTTGTTTCATATGTGCAACAATAATGACTTATCTTGCTAACGCATATAGAAAATTTATCATTCACTTTATATTTTTAAATTTCTTTTTGATATGTATATTTCATTTTTGAAGGAGTTAATTAATAGTTCCATAACCGGTCAGGGTAAATAAGAGGAGTAATCTCTGTTTTAAATTTCTTTTGAATGTTATATTTCCTGTTTAATAGAGTTGATCAACAGCTAGGTAATTAATTAACAGCAGTATCGTTTATTGATTTGTACGTAAGAGAAGGGAAGAAAATGTGTCACTTGAAATTGACACATTCTCTTATTTGACTTTTGTCTTTCTATCTTCTGAAACTTGTTATGTAATTTCGTATCCAATAGCTTTGAATTTCTTATAACCGTACAACAACTGATAGATTGCAGCAAAACTGGAAAGTTAAAAGGCAGCGCGTGGCAGCTTCTACTCCTGGTGCTGAAAGCTTCACCATCGATTTGTTTGACAATTCAGTTACTGATCCAACGACTGTTATCCGCCCATCCTCTCTCTCTCCTTTATGTGTTGATCATGACTCGGCCGGTATGTTGGCCATAAATGTACCTCCAAAATCCTGTCACACTCTGTGTTTTGATTTTATTGGTGCCCATTCGAGTAAAAGCTCATGGGATTCCAGTGAAGCCCAAACTGCGCATCTTGAAAGGGAAGGTGATGGTGATCCAGTGGATGATGATGAAAGTGTTAAGAAAACTCACTCCACTCTTCGTAAGTTTCACCGGGCAATATTTGACGAACAGGTAGATTCAATTGCTTTTACCCAAAATAGTAGGACACAAGATTGTAGGTTGTCATTTACAGATGTTGCCTGTCTCTTTTTAACAGGTGTTTGATTTAGTCAATCGTGAAGCATTCAATCCATCTTTGGGAGTCAACGTGACAGGAATAGAAGAAAATTATTTACAGCTCAGCTTAGGTCAGGGAACATCGGTCTGCATATCACTTGTACCAGCCATAGAAGATCAATCTGTTGAAACTGGAGGGACGCAGAAGATAAAAACAGCACCTTTATCCTTGGATTCTCTCGAGGGAATTAGGTCAGCTGAAAAAGTTGGCGGCCTTGTAAAAAAGAAGATTCCTAATCGTGCCAGTTATGAGATTTATCTTCAACAGATTTTCCATGAGCATGTCTTCGTGAGATCAAAGGATAAGCCAATTTTTGCTGTTCCTAGAGTGTCTGGTCAATCAGTGAAAGATGGTTCAGGTCTTCTTGGTCATTTCTGCATGTCTCTGGCCCACAGGATTTTCTCTAACATGGTTCTGATGGAGCTGGAGAATGTGGTTCGTTTTCTGGATCTTCTGACTAATATGCTGCTTTAATCCACTGCAAAACATTTATTCAAACATTTGATTACTTGTGCAGGTTTGTCGGGTTCCATATCTTCACTTGATGTCTCAACCTTCTTGGCATTCTCGGACATCTTCATGGACGCTTTATATGAAGGTTCCTGAGTCAATTCTTCATGCAGGCTGCCAAAAGGATGTTAATCAGCCAAAACACATTAAAACTCAGTTTAGGACCAAAATAGTGGTGACTGATGATTGCATAAAAGTAGAAGGGGAAGGTTCTCCCAATGTCGTTGGGCTGTTCAAAGGGACTGCCGAGGACATTTCTTCTATAAACAGATATGATTGTGACTTAGCAGATCTTCCAGTGATTATTTTGCAGCAGGTGAGTTATTACATCTGTTGATCATGTCAAGAGTTGGTACCATATATACGATAATTTAGGGAGAGTATAATTTAATTGATGATGCTATTATCTTTTGTTGCCATTTGCTTTATTTGACATTTTAGCGCATGAATGACTGTCATTTTTGTTTCCAGTTGAAGTAGGTCTCGTGAATTAGATAAACAGTATCTTAACCCCAAGTCAGCAAAAGAGACAATCTTAACTGTCATGTACCACTTAATTGAACAGTTCGGCATGCCTCATTTCTGTACCTGTACGTCATTGTACCGTGACATGGCAACTGGCAACTGCTGAATTATTAGGGAGGCCAACGAATACTTGAAATCAGAAGCATGCGATGCCCTCATAGCTTTACCCCAGGATCCTTCGGGTCAGCTAATAACTGACAATGAGATGACGTGGTAGATGTTGTCACTAAATATATTGAGAGGTTTTCCTTTATTTTATAGCATGTCACAGAAGTTCAGACATCATTTCACAAAAAATTGTTGAAGGGAAGCATAAGGACTCGTTTGGTTTCAGATTGTATTTTGAGTTTTATTTGGCTCAAATTTTTCTTTGGGAGAGAAAATTGGGTATACATATTGTATTCATGATGATAACTACTGCTAGAGTCCTCAATGTTTTCATTTGAAATGAAGACCCTTAAAACACCAAATAAATATTTTCAGTTTGTAGCTTTAATTCTGTATATAGTGTCACTTGTTTCCTCTGAAAAGTGAATCCTAAGTAGGCAAACACATTTGCAAGTCAGTTTTCGTTCTCAAAATAAACTGAAAATATGAAATTTGTTAATTTTTCAGAAAAAAAACAGGTTTTCTTATTCTTTTAAAACAACTGTTAGTCCTTTATCAGGTTTGGCATAATTGTTCATCTATCTGTGGGATATCAATGTTGAATGCATAGATTTTCCGGGCAACATCAGCATAGGGCGTTCAGTGACATCTTATCATATATTCCTCTTATGTTTCAAATAGTTAGTGGTTAAAGCTTCTGATCTTTTCCTATTCATCTGCATTATTCTTCACTTGATTTAGGTCTTATGATGACTATAAATCGATCGTGTACTGAACTTGCCTTAAAACTTCTGTGACAGGTTGCGAGCCAAGTTATCCGATGGCTTCACGAGGAGGCTCTTATGGTAGGAATAAAGGCAACAAGAGACTTTTTGTGCTTATCTTTTGAGCTGGAACAGGGGGAGATGCTCAGTCTTTTCGCTCAAGTGGACCCGGAAGATACCTATGGATGTATATTCTGGTGGTTGGTCGTGGATGATGGTTTCTCAGATGAGCGGAAACTTCAGATGGACTACTCTGATAATGCAAATGAAATTAGGAAGTTCTTGGGTCATTTATCGCTGGACGTGTTGTATTCTACCCTCATGGACTTGGTCACCTTGTGCAATGGTGGTACAAACCATTGACCGTCTATGTCCATCGGCTAACTTAGGGTGCGTTTGGTAATCATTGTGTTTCTGAAAATAATTTATGCTCAGAAATGATTTTTTTTTATTCTGTTCCCGAATATAATTTCTAAGCATTTGAAGGCGTTTGGTAACGGCCCAAAATTTTCATTCCTGGAATAGAAATAGAAAATTTTCTTTTTATTAATAATATTTTTAAATATTTTAATGTTTCTTTCTTCTTTTTTTTTTTCTTTTTTCTTCTTCTCCTTCTTGGCCACCGTCGCGCCGGCCACGACGACCTGGCCATGGCCAAGAAGAAGAATAGGAAAGAAGAGTAGGAAAGAAGAAAAAGAAAAAGAAATCTTTTATAGTTCTCATTCTTGTTTTCAAAATCAAGAATTAACTTTTTTTTGCTTTTTGATTGTTGTTCAAAATTGATTTTGAGAATAAATTTGTGTTCGAGAACAAAAAATTCATCAAATGGATTTCTGTTCTTTTTTTTATTTTCCGGAACAAAAAAATAGAATCGGTTATTGTTTGGTTGGTTAGCAAATGCATCCTTAACCGAAGCTCCTTGTTGCATGGTTTTTAAGTCCTCGCCAGTTGTAAAGCGGCTGTGTCATATGCTATAACTAACTTATAGCATATGCTAATGCTCGGAGGCAGTTCCTGCATAATGGATAAAGCAGCTGGCGGCTCTTTCGCTTGTTGTGCGAAGAAATCACGGGGCTGGTCAAATGTTTGTCCTGTTCAACAAATGTGACAGATTTGGGGTCGGGGATAAGATTGCTGTTAAACAAGAGAAGTTCCATGCCGCACCAGCCTTCTGAAACAACTTGCATAGGACAAGGATGGGAATCCATGGATTTCCTATGAAGACCATGATTCTTTGGCTCAATAACGGGATATGAGGTTCTTTGCTGATTTACGCATGAATTCGATATGAGAAATAGGGAGTAGTTCTTGCTTTTGCCCTCTTTTGGGAAACTTTACTGTGTAAGCTATCGTGTATCCGGAACTGGCTTTTGCTGTAGATGTGGATGATTTGAGGAAGTTGATGAGTTTTATCGCCCGGTTACGCCATCACCGTCAGACATTGAAGCGCATGAATTGACAGATTACGATATTTCGTTTCCTCGTATTTGGTTTCCAGAGAGAGGACAGATTGTCATTCAAGTTTCAACTTGGAAAAGGGCTTCAATCATTGTTTGCGATATGGTTGCTTGCAAAACGTGTGTTTGACTCCCGGCGTTGTGTATACCACAAGGTAAAAGCCTTCTTGCCTTCGACACTTTTTTTAACAAGATCTTATCCAGTTGCCTTAGGAAAAGTCACCTTTTCCTGTACCGCACTCAAAGGCAAAATACAAGTTCAAACGAAGCCAGAGTTATGAACATTGAACCTCAAGCCAAAGCTTACTTGCTAAGGCCTAAGAGGGTTTGCCATTTTGATGTTAACAAGTAATAAAAGACCTTGCTCTTGTGTTCGCTTTAAAACTAAATCGCACTTGTTCAAATCGGGCTCAAATTTCACATTTCAATCAATGTCAAGTCGAGTCGAGTCGAGCCCGAGCTATAACAAACGAAGCCAGAGTCATGGGTCGAATAGTAATGGGGTGCTGATTTCGCTCCGACTTGGCTGCACTCCCAACTGACGATCTCTAGCCCCCAACATGAACCGATTCTGGCAAGCCAAAATGCTCTTCCTAAAAGGGTATCTTGCTAATCGAGGATAGTCGTTAACATGCGAACGCCGAGATGCTTCGAATTTCTTATTGCGGTGTTCAAATTTGATTGGGACTTTAGTAGCTCCCAATAGGCATGCAACTTGCCAAAGAGAGGTGAGGGGCCATGCCTAACTTTAGTCAATGGGAATCAAATTCATTTGATCATCTTGCCTAACTTCTTGGGGCATATGACCTTTCGCTAGGGCACAGCCAAGGCGTGGAGTGTAGAGCACCGAGCGAGCGTGCGTGCTGTGCTATGCCTAGGCTGTGATCCACTATGCGCACGTGCAATGCCCCCATCGAGCAGCCGCCACAGCGCCCTCCTCCACCAAACGTTACATTCTTTTTATTATTAAATACGGTCGGAATTTGAATACTGTGAAAACATTCACGTCCCCGTATCGTGATAATAAGTATTTTTATAGAGTTTGGCCCCCCACAAAAAAATTAATTGTCTTGTAGAGCACGCACCATGAGGGACAAAAAGAAGGGAAAACGACATGAATTGTCCATCAACTTTAATCCGATTTTGAATGTAATTTCTAAATTTTTAATTTATTCAATGTGGTCCGTGAACAGTAGCCCAATATGTAACATGGTCCCTGAGCTTTTAATTTGTTCAATGAGATTTTGAACTTTTGATATATGTTCAACTTAATCCTTAGACTACAAGAAAGTGTTTAATGTGGTGGTCCATGAACTTGAATTAATGGAATGGCAACATTGAACATTTTCGTCTAGTATAGGAATTAAGTTGAACATGTACCAAAAGTCTAGGAATCATGTTGAACAAATTAAAAGTTCAAAGACCATATTGTACATTGAATTAATGTTTATAGACCACATTAAACAAATTAAAAATTCTAGAACCACATTGCATATAGGGCCAAAGTTCAAGAACCATTTATGTCATTATCCTTAAAAATAACTTTTATTGGGTAATTACGATATATGAGGAGCGATCTACCAATGTTTATGTGCACCAACCGCAGAAAAAAGCTATCAATTCATCTCGGTCCTATCCACATTCTTGCGCTGGTGCGGTGTACATTGCTTTGAAAGGCTCGTGTGTCTCAGCTTTCTTTCATGGTGGACGACTATGGCCATGTCGATTCGTGTTGGCATTAATACAGCTACGATGGCATTTTATAAGTTACCCATCGGTGTCGTGGTTGGTGTCCACCGGAGGTGTCCATCGCGGCGTCATTGTCGAGTTTAATGGAAGATATTCCGTGATCACGATGAGATTCCATAAATCTCTTTCGTATTCGCGAATATCTCTGGATATTTGGTAATGCATTTTACGATATTTGTTTCCATAATATACAGGTCAATCCATATATACCATATTTGCAAATATACTATTGGTGAAAGGAAAAGCGTCAACGTTTCTTGCCATTTATTATCTTGCAAGCCATGGCAGATCTTTTGTCGGATACAATCGGATCCATCTTCAACAGAGAATATAAAAATATTTGTTTTACCTAGCGATAATTTTTTCATATGACCTTGATCGCCAACAAAATAATGTTTAAAATAAAGGACAGATTGACACGATGACGTCATAAATCGAATAACATTAAAAGGTTTTGCCAGCGGAAGTTTCTGCTTGTGATTTCAAACTCAGAAGAAGCAACACGGAACGAATGACATCGCCACACTCAAAGAAACTCTTCGTCATCAACATCATCGCCCACTCTATTCGGATCCTTTGCCTCTCATTCAAGAACTCTCTCTCTCTCTCTCTCTCTCTCTGTGTCTATCTCGGCGTTCGTTCGATCACTCGAGCCAGAAGATACAGGCCCAGCTCAAATTGCAACCAGCCGGAGCATCGGCCGGTGAATTCTGTGTAAAGATCGAGGATTTGATGCGGGTTTGATCGGTTCTTTGGCTGATCTTGTTCCTTTTTGGGTTCTTGTTCTTGGGTCACTGCCTTTATTGGGCACCTTTGATTTAAACGTGCCCGGATTTCGTTTCCTGTCGCTCCTGGAATGTGGCGTGCGTCGCGGGGCGGTCGAGATTGATTGGCTTTTTTGTTTGGATTGAATCTTTTAGAGGCGTTGCGCGGAAGCTTTGAGGCTCGTTTGTGATCGTGGGGCGACGTGTGAAGGATTTTTTCGTCTAGGTTCTTGGAGGATTTTTTGGTGGGTGTGGGGTGGGTGTTGATTTTGGGGAGAGATTGGTTTTTTGGTTGGCTGTCCATGAAATGTCTGGTGGGACACCAGTTGGTGGTGGGTTCGTGAGGCAGAGGCATAGCCAGGGCTACTCCTCCGGCGGCGACGACCTCGAGGACGATGCCTGCTCGAGGACGACGACGCCCGGATCGGCTCCGGTTCCGAGAGCCCGGACGTGGGTCGAGGTAGTGGAGAATGTCCTTTGGATCGCTTCGGCGGTGTTCATCGTGTACTTTGGGGATTGGCATTCCAATCTCATTTATCTCTTGTGGCACGACGGCAGAATCAGAAGGTATATATGCTGTTTTTTTGTTTCTTTTTTTTAGAGTTCATTGAGTTCGAGGCCGTGGCTTGTGGTATTGGCATGTGTAGCTAGACTGTGGTGGATGTTTCTGTTCCATAGTTGGAGAAAAAGTGAGCATGGATTGTTCAATGTGGAAGGATCAAGATGTGTTTCTTGTTTCGGTTGCCGAGAAAGTGAGCATGAATAATAATGGCCTGTTTGTTCAGTTTTTCATTGTTGGAAGAAGAATTAGTTACGGTATCCGGTTGTGCGTAAATATGCTGGAAATGTTGCAGCTGTTGCTTCTATGTCGCCTTGCAGTGTTTTTGCATGCTACACTGTCTGTTTCAGAATGAAGCCGTCTTTCTCCTCATTTCTTGTTTCAGGAAGCCTTAGGCTCTTGAATGCTAAATTGCCTGGCCTCATGGTAATCGAAGTCTTGTTGTCACAAACAAGATGGCCAATTAGTTTTTAAAGTGAAAGTTTAGACAGATAGAGAAGTGTGAACATGTTCATTTATAAGTTTATGACAATTTTGTGTGCATGACTCTTTTACATGATTAAAATGATGTAAAAGATGAAATGAAGTTGAGTGTGATTTTGGAATGGTTTTTCTTTTCATTTGATTTCTAATATCTTATGGTTATGATTTCCCGGAAAATTAAGAGAGATTTTGTTCTGCTAGCTTCGTATTGGATAATTTCCTCTGTCCATATCTTTATGCCTATAATCCCAAAATGAACTTCAGCATGTGGTATTTTTCATTCTTTAGAGGGCTCCTTTCGCCTCTTGAAACAGTGTTTGTGTCTGCCTGAAAGAGTCTATTGCTGCATGTAAGAAAGTTTCTGTGAGTATTAAGCGCTTGCCAACTCCAAAATGATCCCTGTTGGAGTATAAATCTGAACTACCACCTTTGAGAAAATTGAGTTTTCCTTTTTACGTGTAAAGACTAAGTATGCAACAGACATGAACAGGCATCAAGCCTGCTTGATCTCTAAGAAATCTTGCTATCTTCTATCTGGACTGCTCCAAGAGCCGTTTTCTGTGACTCTGTGACTTTAGTGTGGCCTTAGACACCCTTGCATGGCTTTATCTGTTCAGTTTTAACAAACAATATCATTCAATGATCATTTTCTTTTAAATGCATTACTATTTCAACTCCTGCATATGTATATATATGCACAGAGGTTGTGCACTTGCCTTTTGTTATTATTAACTGAATTTTATCGATCCTACAGAGTGCCTTTGTACCTCGGGATGTTCGCTGTTGGTTTGAATTTACTCATTTTCTTTTATACAAGCATGATGGCGTGGAGAATCAAGAGATTTGATGAAAAGTGGGAGCTAGCTGGCATAGCGGCATTGCCATATGTCACTCTACTTGGTCTTGTCGCATTTTGCATGTAAGAATGATAATCTTGGTTATGGTCTTGCAATATTGTAATATTTGGGGGCTAGTTGGGATATATTTACTGCTTTGATCTTCTCCCTTTTCACTTGCAGGCTGTCTTTTGCTTTATGGCCTATTTGGAGTTTCTTGACCCTTCCTCTTCTGGTACGGCAATTTCGTGGACTGTGTTTGTTGGCGATAGATATAAACTGTGCGAGAAAATGTCTCATCCTTGATTATTTTGCTGCAGTTTACCCTTTTTATGGCTTGCATGGTGGTATTGCCGAATCTTATGATTGGGATGTGCAGACCACAAAATGGCGAATTCCGAACAGATTAGACAACCCCGATTGGATGAAAAATTGGGCTACGGATGAAGATTCCAACTTAAATTTGTATTGGCAACGCAGTTTGCTATGCTTGAACCGTTTCTCCTGGTTCAATGCATTTGAATGCCACATTTTGTGCAAGAGGTCCTGGAGACCAAAGCTGGTTCTCACTTCAATCAGCTCGAGCCATTTCCTCAGCTGGTCCTGATACACCACCCTTGGCACACCATCACTTTCTTGTATTTACCCATCCGAAGACATCGTTATAGGAAATTCTTTTGGTTTAGTTGTTACACCAGTGAGATCATCTTGGCACATATTCATGTTTGCAGTTCTTTGATTGATCTGTCACTGCATTTCGCCGTCTGATATTGGCCTACCCTGGCCAGGATGTGCGAAGAGATGTCTCTGCTGACAATTTAGTTATCCTTTTGTTTTCCCCGCCTGAGAGGAGCAGCAGCAGCCGGATTAACGACTTGCTGAAGTTATTAGTGTTTGGATGAACGATGAGTCAACATCAGCAGCAGCTGAATCAGATATCAGCTTTACTCAATTCTTTTCCCCATCACTGATCATTTGGTGCATGACTGACTACGTTATGTGTAGCGTGACTTGGTCATGTGTAGTGATGCAGAGACAATGTGTCCCAATCGACACGTCCGAAGGAATCAATGTTGGACTTATTGGATCTTTACCAATTCATGCGAGAATTGGTCAGGGAGTGTCTCTAGAAAGCCCATTTTATGAAATCTCCAAGAGATCAATAAAAAAATATAGTTGATTTAGAAATGGATTTTTTGCAATTGGAAATTCCTAATAAGAATAATACTGATTAGAATCAGGGATCAAGTTTCATCTCAATTGGGGATTACTTCGTTTGTTGTAACACTTTCCTTTGCTAAGAACGGGAAGGAAGAAAGCGAATTGGTATGCTAATTCCGCATCGATCGGGAAAATCGTACGGTTTTATGAAACTGTGTGCTATGGCTTGAATCCGTATTCAATCCTATTTCCAATAGGAGCCGTACCATTATCGAAGAAGATTCAAGTAAACTATGCACTTCCTCGGGAATGAAGGAGGATCGTGAGATTATGAATTTGATTCTTTCGTTATCGCTCATGCTCGGTAGCTGCTCTGCTGATCTGAAGGGGGAAATTGAAAGACTGAGCAAAACACCAAATGTTGTTTTCAGGGAGTATTATCAACTGCAGTTCATTTTCTGTATGCTTGGAATGGGTTGACCAAGATGAGGGATATGGCAGTTGGACTATTAATGGATTGAAATGGGTTGTGACCAAGATGATGTTTTCCAAAATTAATGCTATGCTAGAATAGCTATTACGCCCATAATTCCGATTTGACTCGGCTCGGCCCTATGGTTTGAACTAGTTTTCGCTTAAACACCCCTAAGATGTCATTGTTGACTTTTTTGATGACATATCTTCTTGACATCTTTTAAGTTAAATCATAATTAATTGCTTGTATTGCTTGATATAATTAATCAACAAAAAATATTTTTACTAATGATAATAATTTATCTAAATATTTTCTTGAACGATAGAAATATTTTTCATTCATTCATAATTATAAACGATACAAGTTGTCATTTTGAAGAAAATGTTTTCTGAACAAAATGGAGCCTAAATGTAACTTTTGAGATTCAGAAAAAGTGTGAACCTATCGTAGTTTTGTCGCACACAAAAACACTATGCATGGAATTACAGTAGAAGCTCTATTATGTTATTTGACACTTCTTATATTTATCATGACGAAAGACCAAATAATGTGGAATTCATTTTTTTTTTACGGCATACCTTGATTTTTATATTTGTTACTTTCGAATGAGGGGGTGAGCACGGGAACCGGACCGAATCAAATCGGCCGATTCTGAGCGGTTCCCGATTCCTAAAATTTGGAATGGAGTGATTATCGGTCCGATTCTCAATTTTAGGTGTGAATTGAATTATCTGGACCAGACTGATAACTTTATTTTTCTTTTTATAGTTCTTATTATTACAAAACATTTCTTAAAAGATGATTGGGGGGTGGTATGTGTAATTTCGCATTCGCTTTGTGTTAAAATCCTAATTTCTCGTTCTTGCCGCTCATCCCTCTCGGCCTCTCACTTCTTGCTCTCAATCTCATGTGGCCATGCGATGCCCCTCTTAGTCTCCCTTGGCTCGACGCCATCTCTCTCTCAACTCTTGCCACTCTCTCTCTCTCCTCTTAGGCTGCCTTTGAGAACTGCCAAATAGTGACCGATTATATTCTTTTTATTCTCGTGAATCGCTAAACAGTAAACCGTGAGATTTTCTTGTTCCCTGGCACAAATTTATAAAATTTATTTCCAGAATCGGTTTTAATAATCAAAAATGCAAAGTTTGCTTTGATTCTGAAACAATAATTAAAAATGGAAAAAAATTTTCTTTTTTTTTCTTCTTCTTCTTCTTCCTAATCGATTGCTGGCCGCTGGTCACAAGCCCAGAGCCGAGAGGGCTACCCTCACCTGATCTATGGGCTTAGCTTGCCGACTCTCTCGCCGGTCGCCGTCCATACTGCTATCGAGTCCAAACAATGGTGAAAAAAAAAAAACATTGCAAACATTTTCTTCGGGCCGGACCGGACCGGGATGGACCGGGCCGACGGGCCGCAACGACCCGGTTTACGGCGGATCTCTGGACGTAACCGAATCACTCATCTCCTCCTGTCAGTCGCAAGTTCAGTTCAAAAAGAGAGCTGCCCCAATACTACCCAGTTGGTTCAGGCATAAACACAAACATGTTCAGGTCACTCTGCACGAGGCTCGACCATGGCCTCCTCTTCATGCTCAATCCTCGAGTACGTGATTCCACCATCCTCTCTGCGCAAATGGGTGTCGACATTCTGCCTTAATTCCTTCGCCGGCCTCATTCTTTTTCTTTGCTGGCTCGACAGAGAGGCATGCACAGCAGGAACAAGAAGGCCATGGAGCTGATAGCAACAGGTTGGAGCGCTCTGAAGGAGGTCGATCGAGTGATCGACTACTGCGAGCTCAATGATCGCCGCCTCATTCCTCTCCTCAGGGTGCGCCCACTTCTCCGTGATCGATGGTCTTTAGGCTGGATGTGATTTGGCTTTGTTGTTTTCGAATTTGTGAGATGAACATGATTGTTTAGTGGAGAATTTTGGAACTTCTACTGGTTACCCATGGCATTGCGTTTATAATGATTCTGCTGTAGCTATGGTTCTAAAGAAAAATGGGTTGGTTTCTATCGGTCCGTAACATTTTTAACTTTGCTTGTTGACATGTGCGGGATGCTTGTCGGAGTGGAAAGATTTGATTTTGCATCTGTTCTTCTCTCCAGTTTGATTGAAATCTTTAGTTCTGTTCTGGAAGCAATGGGAGTTTCATAGTGATGAACCGAAGTATCGGCTCTTTCATTCTTGTCTTATGTAGAGACTCTGAAGTTTTATGTTAATCTAGTGACTGTACTTCCCTTTTAGCTCTTACATTTTCTTTTTTACTAACAACAACTTGCACTGATATTTCTTTTTCTGTGCCTTCCCGTATCCTCTCCTATTCAATTCTGATTAGACTGCGAAGGAGAACTTTGAATTGGCTCTTGAGGCTGACAATTCAAACACCCATGCCAGGTATTGGCTGGCTAAACTGCATTTGAAGTACCATGTTCCGGGGAAATGTTTAGCTGTGTAAGTGGTTCTTTCTTATGTCGGGAAATGTATATCTTTGTTTCTGGGTAATCATTCATGTAGCACTGTGATGCGAACAAACTTCTGGCATGCATGTGGGAAGGTAAAATCGAGGGTGATCTAACTCGGGATAGATCTTACCTTTTGTTTTGTTGAGGCCTTTCAATCTGGAGAGGTCATATTTTGGCAGTATTCTAGAAAAAATATTATCACGATAATGAAAGAGCATTGTGCTTAAACATGTTGCTCTTGTTTTACCTTTTAATGTGCTGGTACGAGCTGCTGGCAATCTTCTTGTTTTCATTTCTTGCAAGCACTTTTCCATATGGATTCCGTGTAACTTAGTAACCTTGCTTTTATCCTCTCATCATTGGTTTGATGGAAGCATCGTCATGCTTTGGTGTGGTATACTACTACTTATACATGTGGTATTTCCTTATAAGACTATGTTACCATAACAGTGGTGCTGCCTTGCTGGTGGAAGCTGCTAATATGGGTGATCCAGATGCACAGTACGAATTAGGTTGTCGTCTAAGAGTCGAGGTAAGAACTTTGTACTTAGTGGCTGCCTGTATTTTAAGTTATCTTTTATTGAATGCATCTTTACTTCATAACTGATATCTCTGGGCTTCATGAGAACCCATTATTTTGAACTATTATCAGAATAATTTCTACTTGGCATGTATACCTAAAATCTCTACATGCAAGTATAATGGAAACTACAATGTGCACCGTTAAGTTATGGAACTTGTTTATGTTATCTTTTTCTTTGCCCTTCAAATACAACTGCTACACTTGGCCGAGTGGCGTGTGTCTTGGTTAAACTTGTTGCAACTTGGGTAGAGTTCTCTTTAGTTATAGCTCTGGGGAAAAGCGATCAAACATTTAACCATTACTCTTTTTAAAGCTGGCTTTGCCATTGCCCTATCATGGAACCTCATCAGGTATTGTTGAACATATGATAACAGAATCCTTACATTGTCTTTTTCTTTACGTCCTCAAGGCTCCTAGCCCCCAGCTGAGAATTGGAAAAGTTGGCACAAAAGATGCTGGGTAATTAGGAAATGTGGTCTTTCTAACAAATTTTTTTCCAATGCTTTAACTGGTTCTGAAGATGCTAGAGTAATTTTAACTAGAGTGTTATTTGATTTGTTTGCATAACACATCTGCATGATAAAGTGCCCAATAATTTTGTGGAACTCTATCAATGTTTGTCCGGTGGAAGATTAGAAGTCAAATCACCAGTAGAAGATCAATGCCACACATACGAAACACGACAAAAAAGTTAGGGAACTGAACATGGGTTTTTCTTCTTCTTTTTTTCCTATATATAAAATAAGGTGAAAGGAGGATATTTTTTGGATGTATGAGAAGGAGAGTGATGGAATTGTAGATTTGATGTGAGTCGATTTTGGTTTTTTTATATTTACTCCTCATTTTTCATTTTGGTTCCTTTCAAAAAGATTTTTTTTGAATTATTATTCAATGCATCTAATTTTAGCTTTTTCTTTTTAATTTTTCGTCTCTACTCTTCTAATTTCAATTTTTTATCAAATTAATTTGAATTTTTAACACATAAGTAAATCTTAGCATATAAAAACATGATTCCACATAGATCCAATCTATTTTCTGTAATGTAGTTAGAAATTTTTCATGTTTATTCTGTTGCACCTTTCGCTTATAGTAGCTTTCATGTACCTTTTCTGCTGTCTATTGTCTGGTTGTTATTTCCCTTACACACTTTGGATGGCCTATTATATGGTTTATGTGTTTTGCTTGGTTATGTGTAGCATGATTACTTCTCCTCTGATCAACAAGCTTTTTATTATTTGGAGAAGGCAGTTGACCAGGTCTGTTGTCATTTGCTTTTTCTTTTCTGTTTCTTCTTAAGAGGTTTCTTTCTTAGTTCATATGTACTTAATGTGCTTTTAATCACATACAACCTTACCGGAACTCGTCATTTTCTAGCTGCATCCAGGTGCTCTTTATCTTTTAGGAGCTGTTTATTTGACAGGGGACTGTGTGAAGCAAGATATTGCCTCAGCAATGTGGTGTTTCCATAGGGCATCAGAGAAGGTGAGCTTCTTCTTCTTCTTCTTTTTCGCTTCATGAAGTGATGCAATTGAAAACTTGTGGTTTAGAGATTGATGCATTCATGATAAGTTTTGTGTCCACTAACATAGAGTATTCAACAGACAGTTCCTTTGCACTCCTTTTTGAGCTGTAACTTTTTTACAATTATTAGCACTGGATAATTTTGGGGAACTCAGTTTCCAGTGAGAGAGTATGTATTAAGCAAAGTTTTGGATCCCAACCCACCTTTGTGAAAGGGGATAAGTCTGTACTTAGAAATTACCTGAAGAATTTAAGAAATAGGAGTGTAATTGAGGTTTCAGTCAACTATGTGAGGGGTATAGTCATCTCCCTAATGAACCCAGAGAAAGCCTCCTTGAAGCTTTTGTGTTCTCTTTAAAACCATGTAGGAACTGAGATAAATAAGAAAAGCAAGCTGGAAGATATGATAAGAACTCGTCACCTGTTTCAAAGAGTTGCCTTTGTAAGGACAGCTCCTTTTCCTTTTACCGCTTGGCCTCCTAATTTTCTTTCAACTGTATTTTATCTGACTAACTTCTACCTTTGCTGTCAGAAGGGGCTTAGTTTTTTAATCTGGATTATAGAAATCGATGACGTTGTATCTTTAACGGAAATTTGTGGGAAGATTCCAAGTGTCCCTTCACAAGTGCAGGCCCATGCATGGCAATCTATTTACATGTATAATTGGGTGGATACTATTATATCGGGTTTGGTACAAAAGAAATGGGGAAGACGCTGTCCTCTTATAGTTTACTCTCCTCTGAACATACGCAGGGACATGCTGGTGCAGCCATAGCATATGGGTCTCTCCTTCTTAGAGGTTTGTTCTTTGAGTTTATGCTTTTGAACAAAAACAAAAAGTGCATACATCTATACAGTCTTTTGAAAGGTAGGCTGTAGTGTGTTTTGTCAATATTTTGGATCCTATCTTGATTACGTCCGATTACCTTGTTTCGTTCAACAAAATGTCTACTTATATCATGGATTCTCGAAATTGCAAGTTAATCTATCAGGATTACCATCCAGCCTCTTTTAAGAGGAGAAATGAGGGTTTCATTTTATCTGTCCGATTTTGGGGAATTATTTCAAACAGTGTTGGGGGAACAGTTCCAAATTAACAGTCACATCTTCAACAGCATGATCGGGGGATCTATTTTTTTCTTTTTTTAATAATCATTCAGCTTCTTCATGTATCACTTGTCTAGAGCGCTCTTTTACTCTCCCCACATCACCGCCTTTTGCATTCCCTCTTTGTCCGTCAAGTCTCTCCCTGATGACACACCTTCCAAATCAAATTCTAGCACAGATGATCATTTTGCCGCAAGACACAAGTGTTGATTTCTCTTGGTGTGTCCATTCTCCATAAGATTCAAAATTCACATGTCTCTCTTTCTCTCAGCTTGAGTGAAGCTTTGATCTATATCTTGATGGCTTCAAAATGAGCAAGACACTAACAGCAGCTTTACAGAACATCATGTCCTATCTTTTGATGAGAATTTGCCCATTGGTTGTTCCAAAAATGCCTCAGGTGTTCAAGTTCCAGAAGTTTTGACGAAGTTCTTTCCAACTAGAGGCTCAGCTGCCAGAAAATCGTGGAAGAGTGAGGACGTTCCGGCGGTGGACCCAGTAGAGATGGCTAGAAAGCAGTTTGAGATAGCCGCAAAAGCAGGATGTGATCTCGGATTTAAATGGTTGAATAGACTAGAAGAGGAAGAAAAGAGGGTCCTTGCTTCGTAACGAACTAACTGTTGTCCTGCTTCTAAGATCCTTTTCGTTCATTGCTGGAGCCTCACCCCTTGATAGGTATGAAATCAAAGGTAAACATTGATAAGGAAAGGAATGGGAGTTCATAAAAGAGCCTGGTTCTTTTGGGGCAGTATTTACCGTCGAATGTCAACATAAAGCATATGTACCTTGGTATTCAGTACTTCTGTGTATTCTTGTATAAAATAGTGTAATTTGCTTTCAACCTGTCTCAAAATTATACAGACCATGATAGCTATACTGGAAAAAGTTGGGAACAGTTGAGAATGGTAGGGAAATTATACCAAAGGTAAACTAAGATTTGCCGCTATTGTTAGTCTTTATCTAAGCAAGCTTTTTCCTCATGGTGCTCTAGTTTCCTAAGCATGTTAGTCTGTCTCACATGGTTGTTCGAGGCTCATAATTATCTGCGTATTATGTAGGAGATCTACTTTTAATCATTCTCTACAAGTAGATGGATGGCAAAAGGTCATGTTGTGGGTGAAAGTGGGAGTTTTCTCTACAGCACATGGTTTTGTACGCATAGGTTGAGTTCTCTTTTGGAGGTTGCCTTTGTGCCTGAAGCTCTTGAGAGGCTCTTTTCAGTAACAGGACTGCTTGATGTTATTGATGATGTTAAGTATTAGGAGTACAGGATTTTTTTGAAATACTACTATACAAGCCTTAAGTCACTCTTTAATTTCACTCTTTAAATCCTCAAACTTATAGGAATGCTCCGGTGGAGACTTTCGAGTACTTGGTTTTGGCCGTTGAGGCGTTTTGATGGCGATTTTTCTCATTTACCATGCATCGCATCACTTGGATTGTGTCATTGTCTCGTCTTGTTTTCTCGAGCAGTTTAGTCACGGTAAAATCATCTTTGGAAGCAAGAGGCCGACCTAATGCCCTTAGCACCTTGTTTGCGGGATTTTCATTGTTTTTGCACGATTGTTCGTGGCGCCTTGAGCCTTTTGTATTGTGAGTAATCTCGATGCCAAAGCGAACTCCAGACGTGTAGTGCCCTCGTTAGGGGTAGCGGCTTTAGTCGATATGATCATTACGGCGGGTGATGTTGAAACTCGTTTTGATGAGCCGGCTTGTCCTCGTGCCGACCTTTGCTTTTGAACTCTAGATTATGTCTCTTCGTGCTGTTGTCTGTTAATTCCCCTGTCTAGTTCGAGTCTAGAGGGGTTAATATCCTGTTTCTGCATTGGCAAAAGGGGGACAGGAGCACAAGAAGGATGGATTAGTTGGAGACAACGGGCACGATGACGAAAAATGCTCGCCTATATCGCTTATAGTACACTGGCCTAGAAAGATTCGAATTTGGGATCTCCAGCTTTGATACCGTGTGAGATTTTGGCGGGACTATTGCCAACCGTTCTAATAACTTAAGCTATTAAATGAAGACGTCGTTTAATATTTAATTATTCTAACAGAAATAAAAATCGATTTAAGATTGTCAAATTTCTTCATCCTCTCGATTTTTTTTTAATATCCACCCACAAGGTCCTGTCTTAATCCCCAAGCGCAAAAAATACTTGAATCAATTATACCGACCTTGTTACTCCATATAAAACATTTTGCGACATCGTAAAACTACAATCGCAACGACGACACAAAACACGCTCATCCAAAACAATATACAAATTATAACATGTGTTACGCTCCGAATGAGTTGCATTCTTATTGACCTGACAAGATTGTCCCACGCAATATTTTCTCGCGACAAACACATTTTGACCTTTTCACATCCCATGACATTCGAAAACTTTCGCAATATACAAATTTTAACACATCGATCCACATGTAATTTAATTATAAGTTTGGAAAATTCCATAGCCTGCAATTCAAAGACCCAGAAATGAAACTGCGCTAATCCCAATAGGACCGCCAAAAGTCAATAAGGACCGGCCCGCTCAAAATACCGCCGGCGGCGAGAAATTATGTTCCGGCACCGGAACAGTCTTTTTCATTTTTTTATTGTTTTTTTCTGTTTTTTTCTTTTCCTTTCCTTTTTTTTTTTTTTTTCTTCTCTTCCTCCGCCGGCCATAGCTGGGCCGGCGGAGGTCGCCGGCCTCAGGCGAGCCGCCTCGCCTGGTCTGGGCGAGGTCGCCTCGCCGGCCTCAGGGAGGCCGCCTCGCCGGCGTCGGGCGAGGGCCGCCCTCGCCTGGGCTGGGCGAGGCCGGCTCGCCAGATCTGGCGAGGGCTTGGCCCGCCGGCGTCGGGCGAGGTCGCCCTCGCGGCGGCGAGGCCGGCTCGCCATTGCAGGCGAGGTCGAGCCTCGCGGCGTCGGGCGAGGCCGGCCTGCCAGTTGCAGGCGAGGTCGAGCCTGCCGGCGTCGGCGAGGCCGGCCTGCCAGTGCAGGCGAGGTCGAGCCTCGCCAGATCTGGCGAGGCCTCGGCCCGGCTCGGGCGAGCCGGCCTCGCCAGTTGCAGGCAGGTCGAGCTGCCAGATCGGCGAGGCCCGGCCGCCGGCGTCGGGCGGGCCGGCCTGCAGGCGAGGCCGAGCCTGCCAGATCGGCGAGGCTCGACCTCGCCTGCAACTGGCGAGGGCTCCCCAGCCCAGGCGAGGGCGGCTCGCCCGACGCCGGCGAGGGCGGCCTCGCCTGAGGCCGGCGACTCGGGCGGCTATGGCCGGCGGAGGAAGAGAAGAAAAAAAAAAGAAAAGGAAAGAAAAACAGAAAAAGTAATAAAAATGAAAAGTACTGTTCCGATTCTTGCCGGCCGCGCGGGTATTTCGCGACTGCTGACTTCCTTATGACATTCGAAAACTTTCACAATATACAAATTTTAACACATCGATCCACATGTAATTTAATTATAAGTTTTTTTTAAAATGGTGAATGATATTTTAATACTAGAGGAGAAGAAAAGATTGCTTTTTTTTTTTGCTTTTGTCGAAGCAGAATTAATTATACTGTTTTCCCATTTTTCATTTTTTTTCACATAAAAATTTTGCTAAAAAACCGTTTTCGAAAGAATACCATATTAAAATTCCGCAGCCATTTCTTCACCCCGGAAGTTCATCTCCTTCGCGTCGAGAGAGAGAGAGAAATCTAGGGTTTGGTTTTGCAGCGTCTCTGCGGTTTCCCGATGGCGATGGAGCAGATCACCGAGGGCGTCAGCAGCATCGCCCTGAACGGCGGCGGCGGCGAGGCCGTCAAGAAGAACCGCATCCAAGTCTCCAACACCAAGAAGCCCCTCTTCTTCTACGTCAACCTCGCCAAGGTAAACGTATGGAGAGATTCGTTCGAATGAAATGCGGATTCGACTTAGGTTTCTGGGTTTTTGTTTTTTTTTTTTTTGGGTCGTTTTCGTCGGTGGACCTGCTCGTATCGATTCACGTAGTCAGGTTGATGTGTGAGGTTTGTTTGGCTTGTTGTGGTTTTGTGCTTCACCGTCTGCGGTCGGGGCGGAGCCGATAATGTGTGCCGTCGCCGGCTTATGTGTTTGCCTGTTTTTGCTTTGGAATGTGGGATTTAGTTTTGGTTGATCGTCTCGCGTGGAGTTGTATGTGTAAAAGTTTGGTTCTTTTGCGGGAATCGATGGACAATCGGTCGGCGGTCTGGTGATTGGTGCGGTTTTTTGTTGTGAATGCAGAGATATATGCAGCAGTACAATGAGGTGGAACTTTCTGCTCTTGGGATGGGTATGGATTCTTATTCGTTTTTGTTGTTTTTGTTTCGCCTTTGATTCGTATGACTGTGTTTGTCGGAGTCAGGACTGTGCGTATGGCGATTAGAACGAGTCGATAGATATTCCATTTAACTTGTAAGCGTGCTTATAGAGCAGTCTCCTCCTGTCTGAATTGGAAATCTCGTCGCCAGTGCTTGTATACTAGTACATTCTTCCTCTATTTCTGCTTTGGCCTTGATCATAACTGAAAATTCTCATATGCAATCCCCTTTCTGAGGCTTTTTGCAAAACCAATTACGGGTATGCCTTGCAGTTTATATAACTCTATAGAGCAGGCAATAGTTCTTAGTTGTTGAGGAATTCGTGCAGAGGGTTGTTTGAGGAGCCATAAACCTTTCTATCTGCTCGGGTTTACAGTATCTAGGGGTTTCTGCAGTTGCCCTCGAACCTTCTTTTGTCTCTTAGGATGACTAGACTGGTCCTTATTGGACAGACTAAGGCTTGTAGATATATGGTTTCTGTTTTCGGGCAAAACAATTCCCAGTTTTGGGTTGGTTGGTGATGAGTTTTAATTAACTGTCAGTAATGCACAAGATTCAGCTAACTGGCGCATTGTTAATTGTTAATTGCTCTGTATGTTCTTTTTTATTTTGAAAGAGCTTTGGCTACCTGTCTGCTCATTGTGGCAATTGGCATTCTTAGTTTTTCATTCCATGGTTTTACATATGCAGCTATTGCGACAGTGGTCACCATCGCGGAAATTCTGAAGAACAATGGATTTGCCGCAGAGAAGAGTATGATATTCTCTATGTTTTCATAATATATGTTTGAAGCAGGTAATGTGCAAGTTTATGAGGAAATTCAAATACACTTCTTGCAGAGATCACAACGTCAACTGTTGGTATCAAGGACGAATCAAGAGGACGACCTGTCCAAAAGGCCAAGGTGAGTAAGCATTAGTCTTTATGTGCGCTTGATAGCGAATTTTCGTCTACGATTTTTACTTTTAGTACTCATGTGGAGTTTGATAACCTAGGGGGATTATATACTGTGCAGATAGAGATATTGCTGGGGAAGTCAGAGAAGTTCGATGAGTTGATGGCAGCTGCTGCGGAGCAGGCTGATGCTGGAGCCACTGAAGAAGAGCAGAGTTGAAGACTTGAAAGGGCTTCGCCATTTACCATTTGCTTTGTGGTCTAGGTCTAAACATGATTTGTAGAGTAGTCCTGATTGAGTTTGTAGCCTTGGAAATTTTGTAGGAACAGGAATGAAGTCCAATCTGCTGTCCACTTCCTTTTCATTGAATTTTTCGTGTTGATGTCGTGATTCGTGCACTGTGCATTCGCAAGATGAGCATATATCTGTGCAGTCTCGATGTGTTTCTTTGTACTTGGAAGTAATCATTCTTGGTCGAGTCTCTCTCTGCAGATAACGATCCCGAATATATTCGGGACATCGGATGGAGAAGAGGCAGTCATTCAACTGAGGGAGTGTTTGCACCGTCACTCGTCATTTTCTCTTGGAAACTATGAGCAATTCGTAAGTTCCATCAAGGTTCTTGAACGTGTTCTTATTAAATGATACACCAGAAAAGGCTCTTTGGGATGAAACTCCGAAACTGTGCAATGATCACCGCGACTTGAGTCGCTAGATCGAATGTTTCATAAGAACCCTTGGCAGAAAGTAGGTAATGAATTGAACTTTTAATATGGTTTGAGAATCATGCTCTGGGAAAATTTATCCAAAGGCATATTATTGTTTACCTCAAAGGGAGACAAAAGGCAAAGAGGGCGATGTTGTCGTTCTTACCCTTTAAGCGCATCACGGTTGTTTACCTGAATGTATGTATGGAACATTTCGAGTAAGCTTGGACAGAAATTGGCTCCAGACAGTTGTACGATGATATTAAGAAGCAAAGAAGAAGGTTGGTCAAACAGTGTCAACATTACCCATTGTCGTCAGTCGACACGATATTCTCTTCTTTTGCCGCCAAAGAGAAATATTCAGTGCTCTCTTTATCCATTTTCGTATTTTCCCAAAGACTTTTCCCGCGTGCCGAACCAATTGCCGCCTAGGTCCCTATAATTAAATCTTGAACATGGTACCGTGAAATCCCAATTATTCAATATTAATGCTCTGTTCATTTTGCAAAAAATGAATGATTTGGAAAATGTTTTTCAAAAAACGATCGTTCGTATCACTTGAAATAATTAGCCGGCGAAAATTTTATTCATTATCAATAACAATTCATACCTAAATATTTGCAAGCAATACAAGCTATCATTTTTTGGGAAATAATTTTTCAAATTATTCATTTAAGGCGAAACAAACCCACTTTGAAAAAAAGCTTTAATTTCATTAAAAATCGTAAACCGATGGCCCGCCATGTATTTATTCTAAATTAAATTTTCCGCTCACAAACAGTTCTTATACTGGCACCCAGTATCACAAAGTAATTTTTGGTCTCACGAAAATTCCTATATCGGCATTCCTAACATAAATCGGCCCCCCTCCACTTCAACAACAAAAATTGCTAACGGATGACAAATTTGGATCAGAGATACTTATTTGAGAATTCTTTTTAGGTCCGAGCTCCTAGTTTGGGATTTTTCGCGAGACCAAAATTAGTTCAGGTGGGTTGGAATTTTTTCGTAAGAAGAGAATGAATTATGGATAAATATATCACGAGGGTACCGGATCGGTTTGGAATTTTTTACGATATTAACCCTTCTTTTCCTTTTTTTTTTGTTCAAAATTTCAATTTTAACGATAGCGGAAAAATATTGATTAAAGATATCAAGGGTGTTGAAATATCACTATCACCGTCGTCTGACTCGTCTCCTTCCTCTCGACAAAACCCTAGCAGGCGCTTCCACCCCCCGCCAACTCGATTTGCAGAGACTCCTCGAAAAATGGTAAAACTTGTCGCTTCGATCGCCTTCGTCGACAGCTCGATCGATCCGTCGAATCGGCGGCAGCAATCTTAACTCGTCCCTCGTTCTTCGCCTACGTGTGTTGCAGACAGGTGAAGCGGTGAACCCGAAGGCCTACCCGCTCGCCGACGCCCAGCTCAACACCACCATCCTCGACCTCGTCCAGCAGGCCGCCAACTACAAGCAGCTCAAGAAGGGCGCCAACGAAGGTGTGTGTGTGTGTGCGCGTGTGCGTGCGCGCCTTTGAGTGAATGAATGTGCGGCGCGCGCGCGCGCGCGTGTTTGTTTCGTGCGTGTTCGCGAGCGGGGTGGTGGTTGTCCTGAGTGATTGACGGGAAATGCGGGTGCTTTGGTTTTCAGCTACGAAGACCCTGAACAGGGGCATCTCCGAGTTCGTCGTGATGGCCGCCGACACCGAGCCGCTCGAGATCTTGCTTCATCTCCCGCTGCTCGCGGAGGATAAGGTATATGCCAAGTTCGTGTTTTTATTGCTGCTCGCTTTGTTTTTTCAGTTAATTTGGGTAACGATGGCATGTGGGATGCGCTTGGTTTTAATCTGTTGCTTTTAGCGATAGGACGGGGAACTTTTTGCTTGTTTGTAGAAGAACCGTCTTTTCGGGGTTTACAAGTCAGGGCAAAATGAGTGTGTAAACTGAATCTGTGGTTTGTTTTGCTGTTCTGGGTTTTGAAAGAAAGCCCTCCTTTTTCGGATATCATGCAGGTTATGCTTTCAATTTTCTTTCTCTCATCTGTAGTTTCCCAAGAGGAGGTCTCGTATTTTTTTTTTTATCTTTATTTAACTTGCTGAGGGGGTAAAGTTCCGCTGAGTGTAACTTGCGAATATGCGCTTCTGAGCAACTAAAATGAGTATTCGATATCTGAGTCTTATGATGGGGTTGCATCCGAGGGATGGGTTTAAGAAAAACAGAAGACTGGTAATTGGTTTGTTGCTTTGATTCTGGCCTGGGGATAATAGACTAACTCGACTTGGTTTCGCTCGTTTTAACTTCACCAATCTGAATTCATACTGGATGGTTGATATTATTCAGTCTGTTGTTAACTTAAGAGTATGTGGAATAACAGAATGTTTTACATGACGATGCAATAGTCTGTTTTGATAGTCCTCGGAACCAGATCTTGTGCATGACTTGTGGGGTCTGTGGATTGGCAATGTAGCTGCATGGCTTGCAAAATTTGAATCCATTATCTAGCAACAATTGTGAATATTGGCTTGTTAATTATGCGGGGGAATTGAGGTCTACAAAATAAGAAATGCAGAATAACTTGAACCTAGATCGTAGAACATTTAGTGCTTGTTTTATTTCCACTTAACGATATGTAGCTTTCCCGCAAAATTTGGAATACTCTCCAAATTTCAGAAAAATTTAAAAAGGTACACAAATCTACGTGTCAACGTTTATATGTTGTGAAAGTTTCAAGTGTTTTGGCTTGAAAAAACTCAATAGTGCGTGTACCGCAAGATTTAGATTGAGAAAACAGTAAAAAAGTGAAAGTCAATCCGGACATGCCCTTAATCTATAGAGTATACAAAATCAAGAGAATTGGAAGTTATATTCATTAATAGTGATTAATGTGAGAAAGATGGCTCCCAATAGGGTTTAGGGACTATTTGTAACGACTTAAAACGACTCTAGAATGTAAGTCCTTAATCTACTTTAAGACCTCTTAATCTGAACCGTTGAATTTCATTAAAAGCCATGTCAGTCACATATGAAATGACTTAAACTCTAAAAGGGCATAGCTGATTGATAAAATCAGAAAAAGAAATAGTACCACTTAATTACGTAATTGAAATAATTTAGAATGGCATGCCTAATTAATATTCTTCAGTTTTTTCAATGCACCTGAATATTTTAGAGCATAGAGGACTTCAACTTTGGTAAAGAGTTCCCTCCACCTCCACCTCCACCTTTTCCTTTTCCCCAAAGTCTGCTATTATCGAATTGGCAACGCTTGGTGCGGAAGCGAATTATCTAGAGTTTTAGTTACCGGCTAATTCTTCAATTCAATGCTTTTGATAGGTAAAGAAAAATGCAGCTTTATGATTTCCTTTTTGAGATACGATAAATGGCGTTTGCCAGTTGAAACGTTTCTTAATACATCAGTATACACTGGTTTGCTATCACCTTGCCTTGGCATGTACAGATTCTTACCTTTTTCATGTCATATATACAGAATGTGCCGTATGTCTTTGTCCCTTCAAAACAAGCACTTGGTCGAGCATGTGGAGTTACACGACCTGTCATTGCATGTTCAGTGACATCAAATGAGGGAAGCCAGTTAAAATCCCAGATCCAACAGCTCAAGGTATGCGCTCTATCAGATTAATGCAATGCAGGGGTTGTGATTGTAATCATCCCTTAAATGCAATACAGACTCTTAGCTTTTCCCTGTGGAATTGCAGGATGCCATAGAGAAGCTATTAATCTGAAACTACATCCTGCATGTTCGGTGTGATGGGCCTCTTTGTCCGTGCGTTTGCTCTCCAAGAGGCTTTGACTGAGGAATGTGTTAGCTTTAAAGTTTTCGTGTGTCGGCTTAATGAAGAGTTTTGGTCTTTGGAGTTTCTTTCCTCCAGGTTCCATGTGCAAACAATTTGTATCTCGGTAGCTAATAGTAATCGTTGACATGCTGTAAGCTGATATTTTTAGTTGTGTTTGTGATCTCTCTCTCTCTCTCACACACGCGCGCGCGTTAGTAATCGTGTATGTTTATGTGCAAATTTGTGCCAATTGGGTCGAGAGGCATCTGGGATCTGGTCTTGGATCCTTCTCTGTGATGCTGAGAAATGATGGATAGTTGAAGAATATAATGCACCGAGCGATGATAACTTCCAATGAGGTAGCTGTTTTGCACCATGCTGTCTGGTGAGCATGCTTTGAAGCTGTTGACCGTATTCCCCGTTCGAGCCTTTCTTAGACAGAGTTGTTGGGGTTTTCTCTGTGCTTGGAGTCGGTCATTATTGGCTACCTCTAGCTCGGTTTCGTGATAGCCTTAAGTTTCAGTGGGAGTTGGGGGAGTGGTCAGTGATTGCGCGCATCATGGCCAGGAGAAAGGGTGATTGCCCCTTCATGATATCATGAAGCCTGACGATGCTCGTCTGCTCAATGCAATTTAATTCAATTTCGGTTCACGGTTGGAGATGAGTTCTAGGCTACGACTTCTAGTGAGCTAGTCTTGTCGACTGCTCGAGACCGACATGATGCCCGTCGAGCTTGACTCAAGTTCTACTATAAAAAGTGCTGAGTTTGAGATCACTCCATCGAAGGGGACAACCTGCCTCAGGTTACTAAACCCCAAACCTATCAAATACCTTACCAACTTCATGAACCAACTAAAGTGAGATGGCCAGACATGGAAAGTATAGCGTAATCTTATGTTTCCTTATTTCATGGATAATGCCGCAACCCTAAGGATCGAAAAGAATGTACGGCCACTTGAGAGATATCAAACGCAGTCAATTATCGAGGTTGAGTATTCGACTTGAACCGAGTAAGACCCGATTGCGTCCTCATTTTTCGGTCTACAACCTTTCTTTGGCCATGATAAGGGGGAACTTTTTTACGAATACTTGACGTCCTCGAAAACAACAATAAACTATGCATGATCCTAAAAGAGGCTCCACTGTATTATTTTATTCGTTTTTGTGCGATCGATGAAGATAAGGAATAAATAATTTAAAACGGAGAATTGAGCAACGGTGAGTGGGCGTGCCGGAGTGGTTATCGGGCATGACTAGAAATCATGTGGGCTTTGCCCGCGCAGGTTCGAATCCTGCCGCTCACGCTTTTTCCCTTTCTCTATCTAATATTTTTCTTCAATATGAAAACGCTCAAAAGTACAAATCTATCTCCGCGTAGCAAACTCGGAAAGACTGAATCTCAGATCCCGAGCAATGATGAACATGTTGCCATTCTCTTTTCCTTTTCTTTCTGTATTTTTTCCCGTGATCCTGATATGAATCATAAAAAACAAGCCATTCGGCTCCGAGCAAATGATGAACATGTTGCCTTTCTCTTTTCTTTTTCTTTCTACTTTTTTCCGTGATCCTGATATGAATCATAAAAAACAAGTCCTCTGGCTCCAGAAATGATGTCACGATTCGAGCTCGAATTCACCTGAGCCGAGCTCCTTAAAACGAATTGCTAATTGAGTATCTAATTGATGGCTTTCAGGATCAATGTAAGAGAACATCATCTCTAAGCATATTCCATGTTGTGATAGATTATGCTGATAGTGTATCTCTACCACCAGCGCTTCCCACTCTATATAAGTCATATTTCTTGCTAACACGACAGCACATCTCATAAGAAAATCATACCCCCTTGAACTGTTCACCAATTTGACCGTAAATGATGGATAAAGCACATGAATTTGATCTTTTATCGAGGGAGAAATTTGATTATGAGAATTAGCGAATGCTTCAAGATTGAAGGGTGCCTAACGATTTTAGTGTATTTCATTCAACCCAATTTCCTCGAATTTTACATTGAAAATTTGAATTTTAGTTTTCATTGGAGTCTCAGAATTACAAAATCCATGTATTCTATTCTTTATTTTGGGTTTTATGCATAATCGAATGGCTCTCTCTTTCAGGGACGAAATGCCTTTTGATGGCAGTATTATGACTTGGTTGAACATTTGCAAAAAGTTTCGTTATGCCAAAAAGACAGCATAGATTATAGAGTATAGAGACAACACAACAAGCTAACATGGTTCGATCGACATGACTTACTTCACAAGCGAAGGAGAATGGATATTCAATGGATAGAACTCTGCGTACAATGAAAAGTAAACAAACCTCTAAAAACCCTAGCTCCATATACACCTGATATTTCTGACACGCTCTGTATATATACGAAAAACCCCCATAGAAAATACTAAAAGAAAAACCATATTTGGGCCAATCCAAACCTCTTGAAAAAAATTCTCAATTCGTTCACCACAAAATAAAGAAATATGGGTCATAATTAATTAAGCCGATACATCGAGAATTCAAATAATAATTAATGAGTTTATTAGGAGCTAATTGACCCACACATAAGCGTTTATGATTGGTTTGTAACTTATCCCTCTATTCTTTGTAATATAAAAATTGCATTCCATTACCCCAACAAAAGCCTCTGTGATTGCTTCACTACCTTCTGCATCAAATGAGACTTTTGCAGGTACAGACAACCGAGGGAAAACCTCCAAAACGGCGTCTAGAACGTCATCTAAAACCAGAGCATATTCTTCAATTCTTGAAGATTGTTCCTTTCTTTTCCAGCACAAGTATTGCTATGACACCAAAATCATCAATAAATCTATGATCAATCCCTCTCCTCCGCCGCCACCCCCCCAAAAAAAAAAAGTTAGAAACAAAAACATTCGAAGACCGTACTCCATTTCAACCAACTTTATCAAGATGATGACAGTCAGAAAAGTTCCCGAATAGACAGAGAGGGAAAAGATAGCGTGGTCTGTTCTCCATGCATAAGGGTGATTTATATCTTAAACCATTTGACGTTGTGAAAAAGTTGATTATAGTGGGAGAGTCTGTCGACGTGATCAATTACACAGCCTGAGAGGTTTTGGTGGGAAAACCAAGAACAAAGAGACATCATTGTTAAATGTAATAAAGAGCAGTATATAGAAAGGCATTCCATGATCATGCTTTGCGGTTGGTCATGCAGAAATTTGTAGGACAGGAACTTGAAACATAATGGTTTGGTGGGAGCAGGTATGCATGCTGAGATATTTTTTAATGCTGCAAATTTCCTTTACGCAAAGTAATGGAACTAACAGTGTAGAAATGGTGAGGCCATGTTTCTGTTTCGAAATGTATATGTTTGATATTCATCAAACATGTTTCTGTTCCAACAACCGTATTTTCAAAATTTGAACCATCGTGTACACAGTGGTGACAATTTGATAGGGTGTTGGAGTCAAAATTAGATAGAGACACTCAGAATCAGACAATATATTTATAACATTACTCAAGGACAAGAAGTCGGTTCTCCCATCAGCTGATCTGAATCTTTGCTGGAGATGGAGAATGTACATTCCTAATGCAGAATGAAGAGAGTTTGCTTCTATTGCTGTTTAGTTGCGAGATTCTTCGATTTGTTGATTGTACAGCTTGAGATACTTCAGTGGTACTTACCCAGCTTTGAGGCGAATGAAAGCTATTTACTTATCAAAGAAGGGACTAGAAGTCTTTAAATTTAGAAGGTAACTTCATATGACCTCTTGTCCATGTTGGACGAACCAGATCTACTTTCGCTTTTTCATCATTCTGGTTTTCTCTTCTGCTCTTTCTTTTGCTCGACACTATCGCAGCACACAGAGAGTCTTCCACCGCCGTCGACCGACACCTGCAGTGGCCGCAACCTCTGTGGTCGCAAGAGGTCGTTACCATCACAAACTCATCTGCCTTCGTTGTTAGTTGGGAAGACCAATTATACTTTCTTTGGGAGATCAGGGAGGGAGGGAGGGGGAGAAATTTGAGAAATTTTGATCCATTGAAATATGTAAAGTTTTCTCCGCCCTCTCCCACGTTTTCCTCTTCATATATCTCCCTAAGAAAGCAAGTTTATGATTCCAAAGTGGCCTAATCTGAATTGTGCAATGTGCGGACCTGTCAATCAAGCGGATTGAATCGTGTTGGATGGGTCGAAAATGGGTTTGATCCATATTGATCCATTTATATGTGACATAATTTTAGCGACACGTATCTGACCTGAACCCACTACCTAACCCAGACTCCAAATTTTTAGCAACCCCCCTTAAATATGGAAAATAGAATACTAAAAAAAATCAATAAAAAACAAATTAAACACAAAAAAGAATTAGCAAATAAGAAATGACTAAAAATTTTGACGGATCAAGTTATTGGAACACATTTCCTGTTCTTTATCCTAGGGCTCTAAATGTAATCTAATTTTGTTTTTAAAAGAATGTTTTCCTTTTACTTAATTAAAATAAGTGGAATTTTTTTTTTTGAATTGGAAGTTATTCCTTTAAAATGAACTATCACCCTCAACTTGAGCTCCAAACTTTGCACAGTTCTTTTAGAATTAAGACGAACACAATTATCAGTAAATTAAAAGGTTAAAAGTTCTAAACATTAAGCAATTGACCCAATAGGAGCTAAACATTCTTAAAATTAGATGTTCTTCCTTTAAAATAAACTATACTCCTTGACTTGTGCTCCAAACTTTGTGAAGTTCTTCTAAAATCGAGTTAAACAAAGTTATAAGTAAATTAGACGTTCTAAAAATAATGCTGTGTTTAAATATTTAAGAAGCATACCTAAACTTTATAAGATAAAATAAAACAAAATAAAATAAAATATGAAAAAAGTAAAAAAAAACGAATCGTCATCTTGTTGCAAATCCGCTATTGAAGATTTGCAACATTTCTCTCAACCACTGGGTACCCGTTGTCGCAGCTAGATTGTCACTGTGTTTGAGTAGTCACCAAGCCATCATCGTGGCCAACTCATCATCAAGCCATCACCTATGAGTGTGTCTTCGTAAGTGTGTGTGTATGTGTCACGCTCGAGCGCAATTAGGTCACGAGCTTGAGCTCTCTATGTCGCGCACTCGAGCGCCAACTCATCGTGAGGTCGCCGGCTCGCTATTAATGGAGGACAAGTTTGAACTGTCAAGTAACTGTTTCGAT